CCTATAGGCATGCTAATCTAAAAGTGCTTTACAAAATTGGGGAAGCATTATTATTCCCATGTTACAGCTGGAGAAACTGAGGCACAGAGCGGTTTAGTGACTTGCCCAAAGTCACAGTGCAAGTAATTTGTTATTAAAATAACAAAATAAAATTGGGTTCTTTAAATAGTCCAAACAGAGTTCTTCATTTGCAGGAAATTTTAGTTGGAAAATATGCTAGACTTTTTTTTCTAACTGTGCTTGTATCCTCAAATACAGAGGGGTGGGGAAGAAAGCTAACCTCTCTGCAATCAAGTCAAAGGAAGTTTGATCAAACTAAAATACTAGTAAAGCTCTTACTTAATATTGACCATGCAGCCTTAACTCAGTTTGGGGGTCTAACTGAACTACGGTGCTGGTTGCATAGCTGTGACCATACAAGCTGTGTGTAAAATGCTTCTCATAGGACCTGATCCTGCTCTCATTGAACTCAGTAGTAAAACTCCTTTTGACTTCAAGGAGTTTGTTAGGGTTCTTTAGGATCCAAAGTGATTTTTTTAATAATGCACTTGTATGCTCTTTGGCCTAAATAGGCCTGAGTATAAACAGATCATCCCACTCTGAGCAAAATTCTGTTTGGTATTTGGCCTTAGAAATACCTAGAATGTCAAGTCTGGTGTTTCCTGGAGAACATCTGAGAGGTCTCAGGAATGTTTATTATTAGTGTTAACATCTTAACTGAAGGGAGTCAACATGTTGAATCTATGACAAAGACTTCCTTTATCCAAAATGTGAATTGGTCATTGGACTTAAATAGTTGCCCCCAAACCAAAAACAACAGTTGAAATTGTTGTAACTTAAAGTTGCTTTGTCTTTCTTGATGCTTGTGATATCATTTCACTAGTTCAACAAGACATGAATTTCTAATGTAGAAGAGTAAGCCAAAGTCCTTCCCCCTCTTCTTAAAAAAAAAAAAAAACAAAAATCCACACCACCTTTCAGCCATATGATTTACAAGAAGCAAAGAACGACCCAAGCCCAGTTTTTAATTTTCTTTTGCAGGTCACCTTTAGGCTTTAGTTCTGTGAAAGCCGCTCTCATGGCCCAAGGGAAAGTGAGGCAAAAGCCCAGCTCCTCTCTCCTTACTGGTGCTAACTATGCTGATCATGCTCAGTGCAGGTACAACAGAACAGCAGCTGGCTAGAGTTTTTCCTTGCATTCAAAAGGGTGGTAAGTGGTGTTGGCAGAACAACAGTAACTTATCCTACCCCTACTTTCAGTTTTGCTAAGCAACAACCTGCAATGTCTTATCTCTAAGGGGCTTAATTGCCCAGTGCTATAAGTAATACCTCCTATAGCAGCTGTAAGGGATAGTAAGAATAAAGTTGCTATGTAGGAGCAGTGGCTGATTTTTCAAGCCCTGACAACTTGTCTGATTTATGCTCTTCAAATTTGGTACGAACCTGGGCTAAAGGCTAATGGTGACCTTTCAGCACAGGAGCAGACAGCAAACTGCATGAAGTGCACTTAGAGGAGCGTGGCTACTCTAAACTAGTACAGTTGAATCAGCTAGCTAGCTCTGATGACAGGGACAGCAGCTCTACACTAGCAGATGTGTGAGCAGCTGGCTGACACCATACTCAACATACGCCAAACTGCTGGATTTATGCACAGGACATCTTCCCTGCAAGAGAAACAAAGCAAATACAATCATACAAGTACATCATGCCCTGAAAGTGTGTGTTAATATCAGCTATTCCACCTGGCTGGTGCTCAGGCTCAGCTGCTCTCACCCCCCCTCCCCCCATTTTGGCCTGAAGTTGGCATCACCTGAGGTCTAGCTCATAATGAAATGCATGTTGATCTCCACCTGCTTTCACTTAAGCTGTATATAGCAATCATTTAGACTGCTGATGCAATCAGGAATCTCCACTAGGGAAATAGCTTCTAGGGAAAGAATTCAGAAGCAGCAAGGATGCTTTTACTATGAGGGGGTAAATTGCTGGCCAGCAAGGAGAGAAGACAGCTAAGGTAGGAGCTGTTTTTTGTTCATGTCTTGCTTGCATGTTCTGTTCTCACTAAAGCAGAAGGAAACTGAGTGTTTTACCTGAAGCAAACCTGAGGGCAACATCTTTTGAGGTGGCAAACAATTGGGGTGTTTCATGCAGTTACCCTATTGCAGTTCTGCTAACTGTGTTCAACTAACTTGCTGTGCAAGGTGCTTTCTTAGGCAGTAAAAACTCCCTGGAAACCCCTCTAGCTCTGGGTGCTGTGACCCCTCAGCTAAAAAGAAACTGCTGGACCAAGCTGTTCAGGAGAGGGGCTGCCTTTACATTGTGTAGAACGCTGTGCATATTGTTGGTTCTTTAGTAATGGGGGTGATGGGAGCCTGCTGCTTTTTATTACTGTATTTTATAAGTTAGTGACAGTGGTTTTTCTCAAACCTAAACCCATTAGTTAAAGCATATGCTGCTCCCCCCTGACAACCTCTGTACAAGGACTGTTGTTGAACCATTGTGGTCAAGTACCTACTCCCTATTTTTTTTCCTTTTACTCTGAACGTCCTATTCTTACTCTTTTTAGCTCTGTATCCATTTGAAACTAGTCATTACAAAGACAGGTCTGGCTGGCTCAATGTCCTACGTCAGGCAGGATTTGCCATGTATCAGTGAGAATAAGAGGCGCGTGTGACTGCCTGTCAGTCTGGAATAGAGAGAGAGTTGGCTGGCTTCCTGGGAGCAGGACGGGGTTCCAGGAACCTGGACTCCTGTAGAGCTCTGTAGTCCCATGAGCTAGCTTGAAGATCCACCGGCTGCTGCGTGTAGGATCCCTAAAGCAGCAACTCTTCAGTTCCCACCTCCTTGTGAAGACAAAGCCCAAGTTGAAGACCATGGGGGAACCTTCAGGTTACTGCTGTCTGCTAACTTGTGTGAAAACTACACCTGGCTTTGTCTTCAGTAGGATTTTACCATGTGATAGTTACCTTAAATTAAGAATATACCCTGTCTTTGTAGGAAAGACATCTGCATGGCTAGCTTGGAAGTGCTGAGAGGAGAGACTTAACAGGTTGTCAGTTGAAGTGCCCTAAATAGGGCTATTTGCCAAAACTTAAATTCAGAACCAAAAATCAACTAAATCCATGAGCTACAATTGGGCTCCATCCAGGTGTTCCTGGTATTTCTTGTCCCTTTGGTGGGGCACTGTCAGCTGGGTGGATTGGAGATGCCTGCAGGTTTCTTAGGGCCTGGTCAGGATATCTATGGTTAATAGTTACAGGTGTGAGAAAGCCCAGCCAAAAAATGAATAATATACTGTTGTTCAAACAGAACCCCACCCTCCAAAGCACAGTCTAACTCAGCTCAGTACATTTTATTGTGTACCTGCCCTTTAATTATACTAAAGGCTGCCGTGATGCTACTGGCAGTAGCTTGTGAAGCTGGGAACAAAAGCATGAGTGTTGGCTATTTCTCAGCCTGCATCTCTGAGAACAGATTCATGTATGTGAAAGGAGAACTCCACTCAGTCCCAGTCACACAGCTTACACAGTGAAATGTGTTGCTTGCTGCAAGGGTCCCATGAAACAAAAGTTCACTCTGAAACTATACAGCTTTGTCAATAGTTGTCATTTTGGCGCCTCCTGTTGGTGGCAGCCAGCTTACTAAATAGTGATGCTGTCCAGGTGAAACCAGAAGTTTAACAGTCCAGAACAGTTAAACAAGACGCTTTAAAGTTAGTTTAACAGTCCAGAGAAAAGGTGATGATTAACACAGATGGCCAGAAAATGGGCAGTTTACCTGCAGGAATTTTTGAGGGAACAATCCCCTTTTGAAATTTTCCCATCAGGGAAATAACTGTTTTCCTAAAGGAAAACATCATGGGAAAAGATACTTTTCTCCCACATTTTTACTTTACTTCTCCCCCATCCCCCCCATTTTTTGCAGTTGGGGGGAAATTAAATTGGCAGAAAATAGGATTTTTCTCCACTTTCTTAGTCACTGACTGTTTCCCAACTGAAAAAGTTAGTGTTACTTTGTGCCGAAATGAAAGTGGTTTTTAATATACACTGTTAGGTTGTTTTTTTTAATTCTTTTTCCCCCTTTATGGGGATTTTATTTTTGTCAAGTGAGGGTTTTTTTGAGAGGGGAAAAACATCTTTTTTTTGACACAGCTCCTCTTTTGGGACAAACTTCTTTTCTGAAAAGCTTTTTAAACATGAGAACTGGTCAAAACATTAAGCGTGACTTTTACTGAAAATGACCCATTTCAGGCACATTCCTTTCTCTTCTCTGAAAATAGGGTAATATGCAGTTTCACAACCAAATGTGAAATATCCCTTTTGCTGAATGTTTGTTTTGCTGTGAAAGCACTGCACAGCTCTAGTGAAACTTTGTCTCCAGCCTAATGCAGCACCTGGACTTTAACCTTTCAGCCACTTTCCACTCTCCAGGTGTGGGTGATTCCTAGAAACTGCATGTGCTCAGGGGGCTGGGATATTTTGACTGGTTCCTCAGTGTTCTATTTCTGACACATGCTACCAAGGTTGATGGGGTGAACTGCATAGTTACAAATATTTTTGTAACCAATTATCAGCCAAGCCCTTCACTCTAAAGAAGAGAAGATAAATCATGAGACCATTGCAATTGCCTTTCTGCCTACAGAGCTATCCCAAATTAGCACCCAGTTCCCAGATACTGTAGTGATGGGTACATTATAGACTGAAGGGGTTATGTATGTAGGTATTTATAATTTATTTCACTTAATCAAGGAATGACTGGTGGAGATTGCAAAGTATAAAATGCTTTTATGGGATGTCAAGATGAGCCTGAGAGTAGCAGTCATCACAAAACTGGTAATGACCTCATGATCAGAGATGCAGGTAATAGCTTACCCACAGCAAGAGATTCAATAGACAACGTGGTAACCAGGTGGGGTGCTCCAATGCTTGGTGAAACTCTCTGAGCCCTAAGAGGAATGTGGTCTTTACTGAGTACCTGTGTTACTTATTTACAGATTAGACAAGATCTTACTTTTTTTTTTATTGAAATCATCTACAAAATGTCTGCCTGCATCAATTCTGGCTGAAAGACTTGCTATTAAAGGAGGCTAGTATCTAAAATCACTCATACTTTAGGTTTCATTTCAAGATGGTTACAGTTGTTTGACTAGCCACACTGCAGATGTCAGTTGGCATACAGTACAGGCCCTAGTTGTGGCCCATTGCTCTCCATTCTTGGGTTATAAAATTCAGATCTGGCCTCAGAAGGCTGTCCCTGGCATCAGCAACCTGTAAGGAGCATTTTATTGTTACTATTTATACTGTGGTAGGGCTTAGAAGCCCTGATCAGGGACAAGCAAAACAAAGATAATCCCTGCCCCACAGAGAAGTTGTCATAGTGACTCAGGCTCTGCCTTTCCACAGCCAGCCCTGGGGAACAGCCCATCACTCCATCTCTTTGGTTTCTATGTTAATATGAAACTGTAAAAGTCTATTCAAGGCACTTCTAGACGTTCTGTGTACCAGGTCTTGGAGCGGGGGTGGGGGGGTGGCAAATTGTAGGGAAGCCTTCCTCAGAGGGGGAAGTACAAGGGGTGGCAAGTGAGGGGGAACGCATGCGCAAGAGAGGATCCCCAAAAGGGCCGCACTGCTTAGTTTCCCAGCACAAAACTGAATAAAATCTGCTATGGGTTTCTCTGGACTGACTATAGTTCATTAATGTGCTATAGTCCTGTTAACTAAAATGCTGGAACAGTCCCTATAGATTTCTCTCTGGCTTTAAAAGCCTCACTCCATACCCACAGTGCCTCCTCACTTAAAAGATTTTTCTGTTAATGGTGATTATTTGTGCTTTAAATTGACTTTTGATTCGATTTTAAACTCTGAAATTTTAGCAGTTCATTCTCTCCCTAGGAAGTAGTCTTTTCCCCAAGCAAATTCTTGAAGGTTTGTATTGCATCACTAAATACTGAAGGAGGATCTTATGGTCTGTATTGGATAAATACTGTGGATTTTGGAAGTATTTCTAAATACTAGTCACCTGATAGATCAATTTCTCCACAACATTCCTATTCTATGGTGTACAAAATAGCCAGCTTTGCTTATGAGAACTTTCATAAAGTGTAAAAAGAAAAGGAGTACTTGTGGCACCTTAGAGACTAACAAATTTATTTGAGCATAGCTACAGCTCACTTCATTGGATGCATTTGTTAGTCTCTAAGGTGCCACAAGTACTCCCTTTTTCTTTTTGCGAATACAGACTAACACAGCTGCTATTCATAAAGTGTGAATGCGATGTGAGGAAGGGAAAAGGAACAAGGACAGACCCATGACAATGATCTCAGAGATTCAGAGGCTGCAGGAGCAGGATGGCTAGGTAGTCGGGAAACCGTAGGGGAGGGGCATCTGAAAGGGAAGGAGAAGATCATGTAGGCTGGGCGATGGGATGGGCAGAGATTAAATCAGGTAACATATAGGCCAATTGCATGTAAGCCTACCGAGTGATTGGCAGCTCCCTGATGAGCTCAAACAGGTCAGGCTAGGAATACAGCTCCAGTGAAAGCCTCTACTTAGCTTTTAAACATGATAAATCATATTAAGGTTATGACATAATCCATCAAAAAAAGGCAACGGCCAACAAAGATCAGGGGCAGGATCTATCCTTATCTCTTTGCCTTTGGATTCCACACAAGGCTGGAGCAATAGAGGACTTGGTGTTTAATAGCAGGAGGAGTTGGTGGTGGGGTAGAAGGGCTTATATTTTCTTTAGCTCAATGCATGTCACAATCCTTTTTAATGTTCTTTAAAGCAGCATTACATCTTTACGATTTGCCCTAGTTGCTCTGATGATAAAATAGGTGGGGAATCCTTACCCATTTCTCCCATTCATGCATTTTGGAGGGGAGGGGGACTGCATGAACTTCTGTCTCGTGTCATATAGCTAAGACCCCGGTATGTCTTCATCCTGAGCACAGCATACCTACACCACCATCCCCATATTCCACACCTCTGTCAAAGATGCTTGCGCTACTTATGCAGATAACGAAAGAGATAATTAATTGGTAGAGAATATGACTGTTGGCACAAGAGTGGCTCCAAGCCTGCCAGGAGGTGATACAGACTTACTGAGGGATATTTCTCATTTTCCATTTTTGTAAGCAATTTTTTTTCTTGAGGAGAAATTTGGTTTGTTGTTTTTCCATACTTTGTCATAACTTTGAGGCGCTGATGGACTGTGTTCAATGCAATGTTGATGGAACAGTCAAAGGGATAAAAGCCCTTGTAAGACGGGAACCCCTGCAGTGTCTCTGGGAAAACTCCAGTGTGGAGAGAGAGAGGCCTAAAGAAAAAGGCAGGGACAATTTGTTAGCCTCAAGTGATAATCTTAGAAGAAAATGATATGGCCTCCTCTTGGTGAGCCATTTTAGAGAGTAAGGTATTTTTAAGGTCTTAAAGCAGATGCATCTCTTCGTCAAAGCTTTTCGAGGTAAGATCCTGGCACAAATCCTTGTTGACCATTCCTTTCTGCTGTCCACCAGCCATCCTCGCCTTCTGCGATGATTACTATGATGTCCCCTGCACTGATATCCAGTTCATCGGTGTTCTGAAAGGAGAGACCCAACAGAGAGAGTGGAAATCTGGTTAGTCTCAGTACTCGGACTCTTCTGCATGTTGTGTGGGGGATTTTCCTAGCTCCCATGGTCCTAAAGCATATCTGTATGCATGTCACTGTGATAATGAATCTGAAATATCACACTCGCACTCTGTGTGTGGCTCCATTTTTGCTGAGCGGTCATACTGGGGCTATCAACTTTCTTCCCATCTCCAGAGTGGAACAGAAATGTACCCATCCTGCATTCAGTCCCTGTGCAGATTAGATCTTGTATCATAGTCCCTTCTGGCAGAGGTTGTTCCTAAGCCCAGGTCTACGGTATAAATTTACACTGGTATAATTATGCCACATGGGGGTGTGAAAAATTCACACCCGTGAGCAATATAGTTATACCAACCTAACCCTCGGTGTAGATGGCGCTATGTCGACAGGAGAGCTTCTCCCACTGACATAGCTAATGCTTCTCATGGAGGTGGATTAACTACGCTGATGGGCAGTGCTTTAATTTGTAATGAAAGAGGTGCTGGGGTTCAAGCAATTTTTTACATTCATAACAGACACAGAAAGGCTAGAGGTACTGGGGCTACGAACTGCCAAGCCTAGAGGTGCCAGGGCTCAGCCCTGGCACAAATTAACACTGCTGACGGGAGAAGCTCTCCTATCAGCATCTTCACTAAAGCACTACAGCATCACAGCTGCATGGGTGCAGCTTTTGAAGTACCGACCTGCCCTAAATGCAACTTCCTCCTGAACCAGCCAGTCATGCTCCTTTGTTAGAGCAATACAAGGCTACATGCTCAAGGGAGATAAAAATGATGCCTCCAATAATCGCAGTCTGGGAGAGGTTTCTCATCAGCACAACTGATCTCAGGTGACCTGCATTGTAGTGCAGATCCCTGCTGCTGAGCAATAGTGGTCAACAGTGGTATAATGATTATTCATGGAACATGCTATTTCCCCCCAGAGATAGCCAGGCTGACTTGCAGTGATTCTATCAGCCCATTAAGTGATGCTGTCCTGTTTTCTGTGTGATGGGGTATCAATTCACTGTCCAACAAGCAATGAAATTGAAACAGTGATAGCACAAGCCTCCAAAATTTGCATTCAACAGATCAGATCAATCTAATTTGAATATAGTGCTCAAGTGTGTGGAAGTCTACCCCCAGGTTAGGAATCGTCCATCTTCATGAAAGGAATTTAATAATTCCCCTCAAGGCAAAATGCCATGAATGCTGAGGTACATTAAAATGACCCTGAACAGGCCCTAAAGCAAATATCTCTCCAAACAATGAAAGAGTAGAAAAAATATTTGAACACCCTGAACTGCATAGGAAATTCTCATCGGCTGCACTGACCTAACCCAACTGTTTGGCTTCAGTTGGAACAAGGGTAGTCTTATTTTATTTTATTTATTTTGTCAAGGTCCAAATGTTTTGGTCAAGGAGTAGTCCAGGTCCAGACTCCAGATAAAATGATGATGATAAATAAGTTTAAACATTTTTTGGGATCTGTTGAAAAGCATCTGGTGGTCTGGATTTGGCCCATGGGCTGCCTATTGACTACCCCGAGTTAGAATCTGACTCATGTTGACCTCTTACGAAGAGTCTCCTAAGTGACACGTTTTCAGTGTGGGTCTCCTAACACAAGAACTAGGGGACTTTCAATGGAGCTTAAAGGTGGCAAATTCAAAACTAATAAAAGGAATTTTTTTTCAAACAACATGTAATTTGACTGTGGAACTCTTTGCCAGAGGATATTGCTGAAGCCAAGAATGAGCAAAATTCAAAGAGACTGGCCATTTGTATGGATAGCAAAATTATCCATAGTTCATGCTAAGGAAAATATTGGATGGGAGGTAAAACACCGTGTTTTGGGGTGTAAACCTATCTCTTTCTAGTGGGGATTAGGATGAGATCATGGGGGCAGATTATCCCACATCCGCTTCCTGTGGGGCTCTTTCGAACATCAGGCCACTGTCAGAGGCAGGACTGTAGACTAGGTGGACCTGGCCAGTAGGATGACTCCTATACTTCTGTTTCCTGTGTAAGAGCATAAGGGCAGTCATAAGGCGAAAGGCTCTTGGGCTACTTTGGCATTCTAATCTATAAAGTGGAGATATTGTTTACCTCCTTTGTAAAGCAGTCTGAAATCTACAGATGAAAAGGTGCGTGGTGTTAGTAAACTCTTGCTTTAGCAAGTCAGCTTGTCTCTGTTGTGACTTTACTCATGATGTCTAACGCCACTAGGTCTGAAGTCAGGAACATTACAGTACCCTATTTGAGGACGCAGATTGCTCATCAGCAGTGTCTTCAGATTCAGTGAGCATGTCAACCCCAGCTCCTTGCTATTTGCCCAAGGGGCCTGTGTTGGGACTGGCACTTGGCAGGAGCGATCAACGGGGCACAGCATATTTACATGGAAAAATGTGAGGGAGGGCTGTGCCGTCTGACTCCATCAGAATGTCAATGTGTGTGTTGTATCGGTAGCTTTTTCATTAACATATTTTTTCCTTCTCTTGCATCTGTCTAATAGAGCTGGAATAATACAAGCTCCTAGTATTTCCACTATGCAGGAACAGGAGTAGCATGACCAAGCCAGATCTCATATTGTTGTTTCAGCTCCATTTAAAAAGTGCCTCCGAGGGGTTATTTGTATCCATTTTCCACTTAAAGATTTCTATTATAAACCCCACACAAAACCATAACTAAACTGAGGCAAAGGCAGAAGGCAGGCTGGGAGTCTGTATCTGGCAATAGTTATGAACAGGAAATCAGTATGACTTGTTCTAAAATCCTTTTGTGCAATGGAGATTGTGTTGGAAGTCTGCCCCTGCTATGGAACACAGACAACACATTAAGGTCTTGGGGTAGGATTCTCCAGATGAGGAGAGGGTCAAATGGAGAACAGCTTTTAGATAATATTTGACAGACTCTCTCTCCTGTTTCCAGGCTGAATAAAAGCCAGGGAAGATTTTATAACATGAACTGCAACCATATTCCCTTGGGCTGTAGTCTCAAATTTCACAAGTGAAGTAGAGTCAGAATAACTCCTTACTTGGATGGGAGATCATAAAGGAAAACCCAGGTGCTGTACAAAGTGGTGGTGCCATTCCCTGCTGACCTGCTCTAGATTGTGTCTTAGCGCAGCACCCTCAGACACCATACTATGTGGGGTGCTGTTTTCCCATCAGCTGTAAAACCGGGACCTGATCATTTTGTCAGTAAAGATCCTGTTGTCCTCTTCAGCAAAAACAGTAACAGGGGACTAGTCCTGCTGTACTCCAACTGGAATCTTGGCAGTATATGCATTCATCTACCCTAAACTCCCTCTGCATTTGTAACTGGATACAGTATTCTTCATCATTTCCTGCCCTAAATTGCTATCCAAATGTTCTGGATTCCAATCCTACATCAAGATCCTCTAGTGTGTACCTCTGTAGAGACCCATTGATTCACAGGAGTAGGGGTTTGCACTAGCAAATCCTGATGCTGGATCAGGGCCTTAACTAACTTCTCTTATGTTTTTATTGGGACTATTTTTATACATCTTCTTGTAAAGCCAGGTGGTTCAGTTACCATCAGTCAAAATGTACAAAGCTTCTGTAGTGAATGAGTCTCTCCTATCCCTAAAGAGACAAGGGTTGGGATGGTTTGGCACTGTTACTGATGAAACACATTTAATGTACAGCAAATTGAAATAAACTTTTATATACTGTGTTATCTTGGGGGGCAGTATGATCTAGTGGCCAGAGCAGAGACCTGGGAGTCACACCTCTTGGCTGCCACAGACTTGCTAGGTGACCTTGGCTAAGTAACTCTGTTCCATTCATTTTCCCATCTATAAAATGAGGATAAAACATAACCCCTAGGGGTGTTGGGAATTAATGGGCTTTTTGAGTCAAAGGTACTATTTTAAGCCTAGTGCATTACAACGTTCATTTTTTAATCCTTTGACTACCTGGGCTGTATAGTCGTAGAGCACTCTGTAGTCCTGTGATGGTGTGGTCGCTGCTTGTTCACCCACATTAATAGATGCATAGACTCCATCCACTTTCTCGTCTAGAAAAACAAGGAAACAAAGAGTTCACAGACTTATAAATGCAAGGAAACATTTGCAAGAGTTCACAAACACAAGGGTGTCTATTCTTCTCTCTGTGCACTGGGATGTATGTGCCTAGAGAAGCTGCTATTGCCTCCAGGTAAAGCTATGCACAACAATTGCCACTGTCTAGAGGAGTCAGAAACTAGCTTTCGCTCCATACATGGTAAGACTGCAGGGTAAACATTTTCCCTGCTTAAAATATAGTCCCAAATGGTCTAAGGAATAATAAAACCAGTTTGTGGTGGGATCTGTGACTTTTCTGAGGGGAAAAATAAAATCTAAAATATAATGCAGGGAAAGAAAGGTTCAGTGAGCCTTAGTAGTAATTTAGATGGTGCCATGATGGAATATATTACTGGCTTGATCTTTCTGAAACATGTTGATTATTTAATCCAACCTGCCATAACTGAGAAGAGGAAAACATTCATTCAGTGTTGTTGCAAGAATAGATATAAATGCCTTGATGAAATAGTGATAATTAGGCCTTGTCCACACTGTGTTTTGGTAGCATAGTTAACCTACAAAGCCCTCCCAGTGTGGAGATAATTATGTTGCTATAACCGTGCCCTGGTCTATGCTACAAGTTTAGGTCGAATTTAGCAGCGTTAGGTCAATTTAACCCCGCACCCGTCCACACAACCAAGCCTGTTTTGTCGACTTAAAGGGCTCTTAAAATCAATTTCTGTACTACTCCCCAGTGAGGGGGTTAGTGCTAAAATTGACCTTGCTGTGTCGAATTTGGGGTAGTATGGACACAATTCGACAGTATTGGCCTCTGGGAGCTATCCCAGAGAGCTCCATTGTGACCACTCTGGACAGCACTCTCAACTCGGATGCACTGGCCAGGTAGACAGGAAAAGCCCCGGGAACTTCTGAATTTCCTGTTTGGCCAGTGTGGCAAGCTCATCTGCACAGGTGACCATGGAGTCCCAGAATTGCAAAAGAGCTCCAGCATGGACCGAACGGGAGGTACTGGATCTGATCGCTGTATGGGGTGAAGAATCCGTGCAGGCAGAACTCCGTTCCAAAAGATGAAATACCAATATATTTGCCAAAAATCTCTAAGGGCATGATGGACAGAGGCTACAACAGGGGGACACAGCAGTGCCACGTGAAAGTTAAGGAGCTGAGGCAAGCCTACCAAAAAACAAAGGATGCAAACGGTCGCTCCAGGTCAAAGCCTCATACATGTTGCTTCTATGATGAGCTGCATGCAATTCTGGGGGGGGGGGGGGGCGCAAGGAGGGAGTCTCATGCAACAGGGATGAGGATTTTGTGGATGAGGAGGTTGTTGAGGATAGCACACAGCAGGCAAGCAGAGAATCCCTTCTCCCTGGCAGCCAGGAACTGTTCATCACCCTGGAGCCAATACCCTCCCAACCCTCCGAAGGCAGGCTCCCAGACCATGAAGCCAGAGAAGGCACCTCTGGTGAGTGTACCTTTGTAAATATAATACAGGGTTTAAAAGCAAGCGTGTTTAATGATTGATTTGCCCTGAAGACTTGGGATGCATTTGCGGCCAGTATAGCTACTGGAAAAGTCTGTTAAAATGTCTGGGGATGGAGTGGAAATGCTCCAGGGACATCTCCATGAAGGTCTCCTGGAGGTACTGTGGAGCACACAGCAATCAGCAGTAACAATGGGAATAGTGGTTTTGCTGAGGTCTAACCTAGTCGGTAAACTGCGCCAGTGAGCTTTTACACGTCCAAATGCACACTCTACCACCATTCTGCACTTGCTCAGCCTATAGATGAACTGCTCCTTACTATTGGCCAGGGTGCCTGTGTTTGGCTTCATAAGCCATGGCATTAAGGGGTAGGCTAGGTTCCCCAAGGATAACTAGGCACTTCAACATCCCCCAACAGTTATTTTCTGGTCTGAGAAGTAAGTTCCTTCCTGCAGCTGTTCAAACGGACCAGAGTTCCTGAAGATGCGAGCGTCATGCACCTTTCCTGGCCATCTCATGTTGATGTCGGTGAAATGTCCCTTGTGATCCACCATTGCTTGCGGTTTACGTACTGGCTGCCAAGGTGGTCCGGTCCCCAGATAGGGGATATGCATTCCATCTAGCGCCCCACCACAGTTAGGGAACCCCTTTGCAGCGAAGCCATCCACTAAGACCACATTTCCCAGAGTCACTACCCTTGATAGCAGCAGCTCGGTGACTGTGTTGGCTACTTGGATCACAGCAGCCCCCACAGTAGATTTGCCCACTCCAAATTTATTCCTGACTGACTGGTAGCTGTCTGGTGTTGCAAGCTTCCAGAGGGCTATCACCACTCGCTTCTCAACTGTGAGGGCTGCTCTCATCTTGGTATTCTTGTGCTTCAGGGCAGGGGAAAGCAAGTCACAAAGTTCCATGAAAGTGCCCTTATGCATGCAAAAGTTTCGCAGCCACTGGGAATCATCCCAGACCCACAACACTATGTGGTCCCACCAGTCTGTGCTTGTTTCCCGGACCCAGAATTGGCATTCCATGGCAGGAACCTGCCCCATTACCACCATGATGTCCAAACTGCCAGGGCCCATGCTTTGAGAGAACTCTGTGTCCATGTCCTCATCGCTATCGTGATTGCGCTGTTGTTGCCTCCTCACCTGCTTTTGCAGGTTCTGCACATACTGCAGGATAATGCACGAGGTGTTTACAATGCTCACAATGGCAGCGGTGAGCTGAGCAGGCTCCATGCTTGCCATGGTATGGCGTCTGCAAGAGAGCAGAGTTGCAGCAGAAGCAGTGGATGATGAGAGATGCCACGAGAATAGATATTTATAGAGAACAATGAGAGGACCTGTGAGGTGGATTCACGGCACCAGGAGAGCAGAGTTGCAGCGGAAACTGTGGATGACGACAACGGTTAGCAGTCCTACTGCACTGTCTGCTGACAGCAGTATGACATCCGCACGGAAAAAAGGTGCGAAACAATTGCTGCTGTTTTCACAGAGGGAGGGGTGACTGATGACATGTACACAAAACCACCCATGACAATGTTTTTACCCCATCAGGCATTGGGAGCTCAACCCAGAATTCCAATGGGTAGCGGGGACTGTGGGATAGCTACCCACAGTGCAACACTCCAAAAGTCAATGCTAGCCATGGTACTGTGGACGCACTCCGCCGACTTAATGCGCTTAGTGGTGACGCACACAATTGACTTCCTAAAAACCAACTTCTATAAATTCAACCTAATTTCATAGTGTAGACAGTCTACACTAGCATTTATACTGGCATAACTATGTTGGTTTAAAAAAAAATCACACCCTTATCTGACACAGCTATACCAGTATAATTTTTAAGTGTAGACCTGACCTAAGGATTGCTCAAAAAGAGCTTGATCCTGCATCTCTGCAGCCAATGAGAGTTTTGCCATCAGTCCAAAAACCCCACCAAGGCACTTTTTCAAAAGCATTTAGCGCTGACCTAATTCTGCTCTCATGGAAGTCAATCCTCTTGCTTCATAATAAATAATGGACATTAAGGCAAAAGAAAGAGGCAGTGTTTTAAACAGGCAAATGTCACGCTATTGTTAAGATAAAAATCTCACAGTACAAACACTATGACTTTAGATGTTTGCACTTAGCCAAAATTTGGAACATAATTTAGTCCTGGCTGGTTAAAAGAAGCTTATTCGTAACATTACAGCATTCCTCCACAATGCTGTACTTGCCGGGTCTGTCGTCCTGCTGAGGCATGAGGGAATTTCCCATGTAAACTACCTGTACATCCATGGGGTAACAGAGCCCTTGCAGAGGGCACAGAAGACAGGATCCCTGTAACCCTTCCCACAGTAAATCCTGATCCCACTCCCAACAAGTGATGTGTGGGTTCTTTGATTGGTGTGAGGGGAAAAAAATTGACTTGGATTCTTCAGATGACTGAAAGAACAATGTAGCAGGAAGTAAAGAAGCTGAATGCATGTAGATAACCATGATATGCACAAGCCTCTGAAGGCCTTGTCTTCATTCAGAACAAAGTTGTGTTTTTAACTTGAGTTAATTAACTTGAAATAAAATCCTAGTGAAGATCAGGCCATCTGTAATTTTCACACGAGTTGGTAAACCCTAGGCTCCTGCAGAGTTGTGTTATCAGCCTGCAAACTTGTGTGAAAACAAATTGCCTTGTCCTTGGTAGGATTTTACCTCATGTTAATTACCGTGTGCTCACTAATATGGGCTAAGAATTCATGTTTTTTTCCTAGTGAAGACACACCCAAAGAGTCTCACGCACACCTGGGCAAACTGCAAGAAGAATGTAGGTACCAAAATCCCATTAGATTACCATACGTATTCTCTCTAAATTTAGAGGCATGCTCCTGCTCCCTAGAAGTCCATGCCAAAACTCCCACAGATAGCAGTGGATGCAGGATCTGGCCTCGGCTCATTAAATGAGACCCATTCTGTCAATGGATATGAGCACGGGGTTCCCACAGGCACCCCCAGAATCCATCTGTGTATAGTATTTGGTCCCAAGAGTAGCATCTCGTTTTACAATGAGCCTGCTCTGATCCTTCAACAAAGTCACAATCCACCCTTTGTGACATAATCGCTTCCACTGTAGTAAATTCTGATGACAATAATGATCCGATAGTGGCCTTGATAAATAGCATGATCTAAACTGGCAGAAAGGAGAAGTTTAATATAATGCAGACACACAAACAGCTGTGAGCAGATTGGGGAGGCATTAATTGTGACCAAAGCTGTTCATATGCTACTGTATAGACATGTGGGACCCAATCCTGGGAGGCACCAAATGCCTTCAACTCTCATTCAAGTTGTATTCATAGGGACACCATTGAATTCTATAGAAATGGACGGCACTTAGGCTCCTTTAAAAGTCTGAGCCCAAGTCTCATTGAAAGTCAGTGGAACACAGACTCCTAAATGCCTATTTCACTCTTGAAAATGAGACTGAGGCTCCTAAATCAGTTAGACATTGTAACTCTGAGCAGAGCAACATCTACATACCTTTAAAAACCCAGTCCTCTGCTCCTTGAAGTCTTTAAACCACGATTTGAGGACTTCAATAGCTCCGACATAGGTGAGGAGGTTTTTCGCAAGAGTGGGTGGGCAAGATTCTGTGGCCTGCGTTGTGCAGGAGGTCGGACTAGATGATCCTAATGGTCCCGTCTGACTTTAATATCTATGAATCTAGCCTGCATGAATGGCACTGAAAATTTCCACTGTTCGGGGAGTCAAACAGAGGGGATTTAGGAGAGACAGTATTCCATTTCTGGGTGGCTGAGTGGACAGGCAGATGTAGTGAAGGATGCATTTTTTTTCATTCGGGGAACATCACAGTTTAAATCTCCTTAGCTGGTTTTAAATCGAGCCAATAAAAATGTCTCAAACCATTATTTCCTGTGCTGTCAAAATATTATGCTTTGGTGCCCTCTAATGAGAGTGACACAAGTGACCTGTGCAGGGCCATCCTTACGCATACCGCTTATGCGGCTGGGCTGTGTAGGGCACCTGAAAATTTGGGGCACCCCTGGGTCTTAGTGTCCACCTTGCCGCCTCTTCCTATCCCTGGTCCCTATTCTGACCCTTCCTGCTAGCTGCAGCAGCCTGGTGAGTCTTCCTCCAGAGGGGATCTAGTACTTAAAAGTGAAAGTGCCTTCCAGCCTGCCAGATCTATTAGCACAAGATTGAAACTATTAAATAACCTTCCAAATGGTAATGAAGTCATTTAACAGGCATTTGCCAACCCCCAGGTATATACTATCAGTTTCTGAATTTACTGACAAAAGCAGTTGTGCATTACTGTAATATTTACTCAGAACATGTTAGTCTACAGGACCTTAGCTTTAAAAATATTTCATTAGTGTTGCAAAAATTACATCTTTAAAAAATCCTTGCATAGATTTTTTTTTTTTTAGATGCACAATCTGAGTATTCATCTTTAGCCTTAAATGCTTGGATCTTCAGACATAGTTTTTAAAATAAATCCTTCAAAAGACCACCCTTATCTAAAATACACATGTGAGCCTGGGCTGAGGCACAGGGGCACCAGTTTAATATTACTGCATAGGGCCCCATAAATCCTAAGAATGGCCCTGGACATGGGATTGGTAAGGCAACATAACATCTGAAGCAGAACGGATGCCTGTGTTCCTAGCGAGACCAGGCTGGGCCACTGGAAGGCTTGGGAAGGATTCCCCATGCTCTACGTAAGTAGAGGAAAAAACTGTGTTCCTAGACCTTGAGGTCTCAGTCAGAATTTAAACTTCACACATCCACAGGACTTCTTAAGAATAGTACAGCTCCTATTAGTCCCCATGTTGGGGGAGGCTGCTTGCTACATGTTTGTGCCATACTGATGTCTAGATTATAGTCTCATGCTAGCTCATAAGATAGATAACATGTTAATGTCTTATCACATAGTTTATTCTCCATGCAACATGCATGTAAATGATTGATTGATAGGACCAGATACATTTTTTGATTTACATTTGGTAAAACATACCAATAGGAGGGGCTGTGGGAATGATGGTTTCACTGGAGTTTCTGCTATTTCCATGTAGCAATCCGGAGAATCTGTGGAACCAAAAGAAGCTGGTGATGGAACGTACAGAATATGTTGTATATTCCTCAAACTTCCAGAGCGCTAGTCCACTGCCATGTAATCTTCCTCATTCCTCCCATTTGTCACCAACTCTTTTGGCCAAATGTTTCCTCTTCGGAACCTTTTTTTTTGTTTGTTTTTGTTTTGCACTACAGCAAACCCATTTAATTTTCATTTAAAACAAACCCTGGTAAACTAGTAAATCTTTTGAAATTTGCCAATCACTAAACTGTACACAAAATATATTCGTTTTATCTTATAGACAATTCAAGATATAAAGACACGTGAAGCAAAGCTTAAACCATCCCATCGTGACAACATGATAGATCTGTTGACTGGTCAATTGCAAGGGGTGACATCCTTTTCTTTCCTCCTCATGATAACACACTTGAATGTAGAAAATGCTGGCTTTTGGAATGTTGTAGAATATAATACAGTTTTAAAATATAGTGAACTATTTATATTTTTTTTTTCCCTGGATGTTTCCCCAACCAGCATAAACTGTACTGGTATAAGCAATCTTCTACCGATATAATTGGGTCCACATTAGGGCTTTCATCGGTATAAATATTCCTGTATAAATCTCATCCTTAACCAACAAGGCTAGACTACTGAAACTTTTAAGAGCAGATCAGGCTTAAAGCTATTTGCTAATCTGTGGCACGGTAGTGCACTATGGTTTAGCACAGAAGGTATTGCTGGAAAAGACAACTCTGTCTGTCCCCTTCTCCCCACTTAAGTTGTTTTTGTCACTATATGTCCTGGTGCTATCACAAACCAGAATTAAGTGTACCCCAATTACTTGCTGGCTGGTCAGTTTCTTTTAAAGTTGTCCCTTCCCCTCCCTCCCTTCCCGCCAGCAACAATGTGAATAGCTAATCTTGCTCCACTTTAAATTCTGTTAAATTAATTGTTGGTATATGTATATGATATCACATGCCTTTCACCACGATTAAGGAAACAATTACTTTCAAGATCCAGATTTGTCACTTGCATGTATGTAACCATATATTGCTTTATACACAGAAAAGCATTTCCACAAGGAACCAATATACTCACCTTTTCATCATCCCACAAGACTGGACTGGGCTGTTGCTACATCTAGGAGATTCCCTGGCATAATAATTCTCATATCCTATTGGAACTACAATGGGATAATTGTTAAAAGCAAGGGTGTAAAGAGGCCGAAGGTACCAATTTTTCCCTTCTACCAGCAATGCAATTGATTTGTTTCCATAGCATGGTGGCTAGTCTTCTAGAGCAGGAGTGGCCAATGGAATTCTGCAGTGTAACCACTCCTCTTTAATATATAGGTGCAGACCTGTGAGCTCATCTACACTAGGAAAACTACTGATGACAGATATCAGTAATAGGTACTGCTGAGCTGATGCTTAATACAGTTCTGCTGCAAGTACAGACCCATCCACACCACATTCAGCACCATTTCAATAGTTATGTTCCAATTCTAATCAAGATGAGCTGCTGCCTCAATAATAGGACTTGTGCCATCTTGTCATCCCATCTTTGTTTAAGGAGCAAAAGCTAATCACCCTGCAGCTCTCCGCTACTAACTGGGGATGATGACACAGTCAGCTCTTCTGGGTTTTTTAAATGTATAGGCAGAGATTCAGGAATTCCAGCCACATCTGGGGAATTTTTTGGCCCTACTGTCAGATGCTGTAAAGTAGGTATTTCCTGGTCTCCATTTGTACATAACTATCAGCCTACCTCTCTCGTCCCCAAAGAGAAAGAGAATTTGCTATTGACCCATAAATACTTATTCTTCTTCAAGTAGTGTCCCTATGGGTGCTCCACTTTAGGTGTCTGTGTGCCTCTGCACCTCTGATCGGAGATTTTTGGTAGCAGTGTCCCACTGAGCCCGCACATGTGCTCTCCCTCCTTCGGGGTCTGCCTCAAGGCTATTTAGCACTGCACGGGCAAATCCGCATCAGGTCCTTCTCTACCGCCTTTGGCCTCTGAGGGAAGGAGCAGTTGTCCCTTCCTTATCTGTGTCATTAGCATAAGTAGTGTTTGTTTTGTTACCTTTGTTCTCCCTAAAAGTACTCAGGCTAGTGTTTTGTTTTATTCCTTTGGTTTAAAAAGAAAAGAGAAAAAGGAAAAGAACTTCACTTTCCTTCCCTGTCTGGGGGCATTCCCCTCTTCCCCCCCCCCATCTAGTAGACTACTTTTTTTTTTTTAAAACTGAAAGAAAATAATTATGAAAGACGCTGTTCTGCATATTCCTCCCTGCTAGAGAATGGCACCCCCTGCCCAGGGGCTTGCCTGGCTCTCTCTGCTCCAAGTGGTGCCTCTCCTGCCAGGAGTCAGTTCCTGTAATGGCCAGACACTCACTGTGCCCGGGAGACCCTCACAGACGTGCTTTATCTGCCACACCTAAAACTGCAGCCTCACAGGAGCTGGGAGCTGAAGTAAAAAATTCCTCCTATAGAGAAAACACTTCAGTCTGCAGGGGACTCCCGTGGGTGTTGACCCCGGATCATCCCCGGAGCCTTCACTTCAAAAGGGGTCGAGTGGTGAAGAGGAGAAAGAAGAAGCCACCAGCAGACTCCCCCCAGAAAGGCTCCTCCCAGCAACTGGCCAGCCAGAGGGGTGTTCCCCAGTGCGGCTGCCTTGGCCCCGATCCCCGAGTAGCTGGCCAGCCAGTGGGACTCCCCAGAGCGGCCACCTCGGTCGGACAATACCAGCAGAGGAAGCTCCTGCTGTGAGCTCAGCTGCCGCTTGGCTCTGCTCCCGGTGGGCACCGGAGCTCTGGAAGCTGAAACCTGAGAAGGGGCTTCCTGCTCTGGGCTCTGCCCTGCTCTGAGCTCCGCTCCCGGCACCCCAGAGGGCAGTTACCGTACCATCTCTAAAAGATCAGCATAGAGAAACCCTTTGGTACCAGATGCAACAAAACTCCCATCTAGGAAGTGTTCTGCCCCTTCCTAGCCATTGATACTGACTACAGACACAGGTGCTCTGATATTCTGGAGACCTGTGGCCTCAGTACCCAGGGAGAGACCATTACCATACTGTCTCTAAAAAAGTGGCACCAACAAACTTTTTGTACTGGGCAAAACTCTCATTTAGGGAGTGCTCTGCCCAACTATCGGTACTGACAATGTACCACGGACCCTCCTCTGTGGTACCAAATGAACCCATGGTACTGCATGAGCTCTGGTACCCTGGACACCTGATGACTGGGGAAGAACCACAATCCCCATTACTTGGGACCAGGACCCCGGTATCGAGCGCATCCAGAATCGCTCTTAGCACTGGGCTGTATACTGCCAATACCCCAGTCAGCGGCACCCTTTCCCACTGACGAATCTGACACTGGCCAGGAGGAGATCATTCCCTGGCCCCTCAAGGTGGCCCACCACCACACTACAAGGGTCATCCCCAATTCCATCATGCCAGCTGCTCGTGCCTGCCTTCCTGCCTCTCCCTCCCTAGGCCATATTGTAACTCTTCAGATACATACACACACACACACACACACACACACAGCACGACTGTCTCTGGTGTCTCTCAGGGAGAGTCCACCAGATGGTTTGCTACAGCCTGGCACCTGAGCCAGGACAGGAGAAAGCTTTTCAGAACAGGAAAGAAGGGGGGGGGGAAACACACCTGAAGAGGAAGCTACCTCTTCAGCACACTTCTCCTCATCTCTCCCAGATGAGACTGTGCTGCCCACCCCTCATAACTAGGTGAAGATTTTAGAACTTTCTGGATTTTATCAAGAGGGTGGCAGACAAGCTGCAGATCCACATCACAAATTGGTGGAAATTCTGCACACTACTTCCCATCTAGAACTGTCCTCCCAATTAATGAGCTGATTCTAGATCCTACCAAAATCATCTGGCAAAGCCAGCCTCCATCACACCAACCAGCAACAGAGTGTAAACAAAAACAATCCTACATCTCTACCCAAAGAGGCAGACTTTGTTTTCAACATCCGCAACCCAACTCCATCATAGTGGATGTGGTTAATGCATGAAGCAGGCAACATAATGCCAAGTCAACTCCATATGGTCAGGCTTCGCAAGATGACGTATTTATCGACAACATTACTGTTTAGAGTCATAAATTACCAAACTGTCATGGCCAAAACAATTTTGTTAATCTTGGGGAAACCCAGGATGTTTCTGAAACATTACTGGAAACACAAAAAGAACAGATTCAGACCATTCTTAGAGAAGGTCAGTTAATAGCCAGACTGGTCCGAGAGACACCACTGGATGTAGCTGTTACAGCTGCCCGCCCAGTCTCCATGACAGTGATACTGAGGTGGCTTGTGGGTTTTTGTTTTGTTTTGTTCGCTACACTTCTCTAGATTGCCCAAAGAGCTACAGACTTCCAATTTGAAGGGCCAAACTCTTTGAAGAGAAGACAGATTTTTCTCTCCATCTCCTGAAGGATTCTTGGACCACACTACACTCCTTAGGAATCTACGCTGTGGAACAGAGAGAAGATGTACCTCTCAACCACACCACAGATCACAATCTTCTCAATACTCACCATCTCTGTGCTCTTTTGAGCCACAGTGTAAGAGTCCCAGGGCTCAAAAGTGAGAACAGTCTGCACCCCAGTCCATGACCTCTCAAACTGCCTCTTATAGGCACTTTGATGAGCTGGTAGGGGGCCTGAACAATGATACCTTACAGCATCAGCTGCCATCTATGCACCTGTCACACCACTCAGAAGTCACCTTACCTTACTTCACAGCAGTTAGGTAGAGCAAAGAGATTGATTTCTAGCCCTGAACTTACAGGGTGCCTACTTCCATATCTCAATACAACCATCGTACAGGAGATTTCCTACTGCTTACCTTTGGGGCAGGATCATTATAGGTACAGACTGCTCCACACAGGGTAGTCTCCAAGGTTCACTTCATTGTAGTGGCATACTAGCCCTGGTACAATGACTGGACTTTATCAGCACCAACCTGATGCAGTATAAGCGAGAGTGCTCCTTTCACTACCCACATTCACCACCCTGGGACACATGTCTCCCTAATATGCTGGGGAGCTCACCTACACAGCAACAAGGTTCAGGACAAATGGCCTTCCACAGAAATGACCTTCCATATCACTCTTTTGGGGCTAGAGGCTGTCAGGAGTGCCTGTGCACAAACTCTGCCTTTCATCAAAAACAACACACAACGGTTATGATGGACTTAATGTGACCTGTATGTTTTGTATAAACTGCCAAGGAGCTGCCAGATCTCCCTCCCTCTGCAAGACAGCATTCAACCTTTGAATTGATGCACCCATCACAATGTGCTCATCTCAGCTGTCTGTCTACAAGGGACACAGAACAGGACAACCAACAGTCTCAGTTGGAATTTTCTCACGACAATGAGTGTATACTGAATTCACAGGTGCTTCAAAATATAGCCACCCTTTGGGGAAACATTCACTGGCAGTTGCCCTCACCTTCCCAGCGGACAGGGCCCACTTTTAGGTCTTTTCCCAGTTTCCTACCCTATCCAAGATTCTGTTGAAAATTCAATGAACCAAAGCGAGAGTTATTGTGATTGCCCCTCTTGACTATGACAAGTCTGGCTCCCTTACCTGACGCAGATGGCAATATGCCCTCCTGTTCCTCTGAAGTCAGCCCATTCCTCACCCACTCTCTCAAAACAACGGGCTGACCCTTCACCCCAACCCATGGGTCCTCCACCTCCAGGCTTGCATCTTTCTTTGTTCCAAGGCTTAGAAGCAGAATGCTCTGACAAGCTGAAACACATGTTGCAACACAGCCACAAGTTGACCACTCCACATACCTATCTACAGAATGGAAACAACTCCAAGTTTGTACTATTCCAGACAGACAGACCCAACCTCATCTTTCCTCCCTCTGATTTTGTACTACATTTTAAACTCTCCCTCAGCTTCCTTAAGGTACATCTCATGGCGAACATGGCTTCCCACTTGGAGTTTGCTCAACCACTAATGCGTAGACTCTTTAAGGTCATTGGGACTCTCTTCCCCCATGTGACACCACCCGCTCCAGCCTGGGACTTTAATCTAGTTCTCGGGGCTCAGACTAGACCTCCCTCCGAGTCCAGGGCAACTTATTCTCTCTGATACCTGTCCATGACGACAGCATTTCTAATTGCCATCACCTCAGCTAGGCACATAGGAGTAACAGCGGCCCTGATGGCACACCCATCATTCACAGCCTTTGTCTTAAAAAAAACAAAAACAACCCACCACCACTCTAAGGCCATATCCCAAGTTTCACCCTATTTTTTCTGCACTTTCCATATGAATCAACAGATCCATCTCCCTGTCTTTTCCCAAAACCACATTGTGACAACTGGGAGACAATTGTGCATATGCTAGATATTAGAAGGACATTAGCATTCTACTTGGACAGGACTAAGGACTTCAGGAAATCCCCTAAATTCTTCCTTTCATCCACAGAAAGATTGAAAAGCTCTGTGATATCTCCTCAGAGATTATCCAAATGGGTCTCTAGTTGCATTAATCACTTAACAAGGGCACAACTTGCTTCTGTCCATACGCATTCCGTGAGATCAGTTCCTACCTCAATCACATTCCATAGGGATGCCCCTATCTCCCCAATCTATAGAGCAATGATTGGGGCCTCTGTCCATACTTTCGCAGAACATTATGCGATCACTGAAGATTTGGCTGCTGACACCATCTTCGACTCCACAATATTCTCTGTAGTAAAAGACTCTGCTCCGAAGTCACCTAAAGTGGAGCACCCATAGGGACACTACTCGAAGAAGAAGAGGAAGTTACTCACCTTGTGATGGAAATGATGGTTCTTCGAGATGTGTGTCCCTATGGGTGCTCCACAACCTGCCCTCCTCCCCTCTACTTCAGAGTTCTCTATAGGGCTCTGTGGTAGAGAAGGAAGTGAGGGGAGTTTGCTCGTGCAGTGCTAAATAGCCTCGAGGCAGACCACGAGGGAAGGAGAGCACATGCGTGGACTCAACAGGACACTGCTACCAAAAATCTCTGATTAGAGGTGCAGGGGCACACAGACACCTAAAGTGGAGCACCCATAGGGACACACATCTCCAAGAACCATCATTACTGCACAAGGTGAGTAACTTCCTTTTCATTCCCCCTTACTTCTCACTGTCCACCAGGGGGCTAGTTAGGGCTCAGACTGAGAACATTTCAAGGTCTAGCTTCTTTAAAAAAAAAAAAAAAAATTATGGCCTGCTTTTTTTCCCCCCCAGACCTGCTGCATGCTCTCAGCTCCTGCTGGAGTCAGTTGTGGTCCGTAATTAGGGTGTTCCTTGACTGTGTTGAAAGGTGTCCCTCTTTCACCTCTGTAAACTGTTACCTCACAAGACTTCACACTCACAACTCACATCTGAGTTAGTTTGAAAAGAGAGTGTTTATTTTTAACAGCAAAGTCCTCGTCTCTGCAATGGGGTTACCTGTAAAAAGAAAAGGAGTACTAGTGGCACCTTAGAGACTAACCAATTTATTTGAGCATAAGCTTTCGTGAGCTACAGCGCACTTCATCGGATGCATCTGATGAAGTGAGCTGTAGCTCACGAAAGCTTATGCTCAAATAAATTGGTTAGTCTCTAAGGTGCCACAAGTACTCCTTTTCTTTTTGCGAATACAGACTAACATGGCTGCTACTCTGAAGCCTGAGGTTACCTGTGGTTCTCTTATATAACATCATGCATGTGGTCGCCTCTGTGTCTTGTACTTTAAAATACTACAGCTTGCGGGCCGGAAACTTGCAACAAGCTATGCTGAGAAGTAATGAGCCACAACAGAGGGTGAAGAGTACCATTCATACTAAGAAACTGCTGACATGTAGAGGTAAACATGCCTCTGTGCCTCTCTGCCTCTCTGTGTCTCTTTTCTCTATAATGTTTAAAGGAGGTCTGAAATCTTTTTAGATATAGATATATATATATATAGAGAGAGACACACTCACTCTCTCTCTCTCTCTACATCAGGGGTGGGCAAACTACGGCCCACAGGCCACATCTGGCTCTCCAGCTGGTTTAATCCAGCCCTCGAGCTCCTGCTGGGGAGCAGGGTCGGAGGCCACTCTGTGTGCTTGGCGAGGCTTGTAGAAGCAGCAGCATGTCCCCCTTCCGGCTCCGAAGCTTACGGGCAGACAGGGGGCTGCGTGGGCTGCCTCCACCCCAAGCACCACCCCTGCAGCTCCCATTGGCCGCGAACTGCGACTAATGGGAGTTGCAGGGGCAGCGCCTGCAGACGGGGCAGTGCACAGAACAGCCTGGCTGCACCTCCTCATAGGAGCCAGAGGGGGGACATGCCACTGCTTCCAGGAGCTGCTTCAGGTAAGCACCACCCGGAGCCTGCACCTCTGACCCCCTCCCCTACCCCAGCTCTGATCCTTCTCCTGCACCCCAACCCCGTGCCCCAGCCCGGAGCCCCTTCCTGCACCCTGAACTCCTCATTTCTGGCCCCACCCCAGGCCCTGCACCCCCAGTCAGAGCCCTCACCCCCCCCGTGCCCCAACCCCCTGCTCCAGCCCTGATTTCCCCCTCCCACCCTCCAAACCCCTTGGTCCTAACCTGGAGCACCCTCCTACACCCAAATCCCTCATCCCCAGCCCCCACCCCAGAGCCTGCACCTCCAGCTGGAGTCCTCCCCCCTCACCTGCTCCTGCACCCCAACCCCAATTTTGTGATCATTCATGGCCCACCCATACCCATTTCCATACCCAGATGTGGCCCTCAGGCCAAAAAGTTTGCCCACCCCGATCTACACTGTTCTTCATAGAAGACTGACAGCTGGAAAGCTTATTCATCAGAGATACTAACACCAGCCAAACCTAACTGAGAGGGGAAGCTTAATTTTACTCAGGGCTTGTCTAAACACAAAAGTTGTAACAGTTTAACCTATACCAGTGTAGATAAAGTGGTACAACACTTTTTGTGCTGAGTCTGTACAGTACCTAGCACAATGGAATCCTGGTGCACAACTAGAGCATCTAGGTGCTATGATAATAAAATAAATATCAATAATAAAAGTGTGCACAGTTATAGCAGTGTAAATATACCACTATAGCTTGTTTCCCTATGGGAAGAGGAATAAGCTACAGTAGAACCTCCGAGTTACAAACACCTTGGGAATGGAGGTTGTTTGTAACTCTGAAATGTTCGTAACTCTGAACAAAATTATGATCTTTCAAAAGCTTATAACTGAATACGGACTTAATACAGCTTTGAAACTTTATTATGCAGAAGAAAAACGCTGCTTTCCCCTTTATATTTTTAGTAGGATTGTTCCATTTTACAACTGCTGTCAGTTCCACTCCACATGTCCTCACCAAAGTCCTGATCCAACGCTCATTGAAATCAATGGCAAGACTCCCTTAGACTTCAATGGGTGTCGGTGGGCAGCCCAGCCCCCCCCCCCCCCGAGTTGTAGGACTTATCTATATTCTGGCTCTCTCCAGCTGAGGAAATCTTCCAATGTCTTTGATGATAGGATCTAGCGATGTGCCTCTTCAAAGCCTTCCATAAACACCATCTATTTAAGCTGCCTACTTTCCTTGTGAGGTCCGTACGTATTATTCCCATTTTACAGAGGGGAGAGAACGAGGAACAGAAATTTAAGTGACTTTCCAAGGCCACAATTAGAGAGGCAGCATTTCTGTCATGGGGACTCTACTTCTAATTGGTAACAAGGCCAAAAAAAACTTTTGAGGTTTATTACCTGGTGGATCTGTTCCTGTCATTTTATTCTTAATGAAGTAATCCATGTCTGATTCTACGTTACAGTTCTCTAGGCTCAGTCGAACCTCTTCATACATCTGCAAAACAGAAAAGAAGGATTTTAAGTTTCAGCTTTTTGTGATGAGCTCTTAACACAGAATCCTCCGCTAGTATTTCTCTCCATCTTAAAGGGACACTGTCCATTTTAATCACGTTGTGTATATAAACAGCTTTCTCTACTTATGCTGTGGACAACACCTTAGAATATGAGGAAGTTGGGAGACCAGGTTTAAAAGCTTCTAAACCCTGGTACTAAAGTGTTCTTTTAATCCACTGGAAAGAGGTATCACAAGAACCAATGATTGGAAGTTAAAGCCAGACAAACTAAAACTAGAAAGAAGATAAATGTTTTTAACAGTGAGAATGATTAGAACAAAGGAAGTGGTGGAATCTCCATCTTGAAGTCTTCAAATCAAGGCTGGTTGCCTTTTGAGAAGGAAGGCTTGAGCTCAGTAACTTGTGCTGACTAAATACAGGGGTAACTGGGCCTGTGTTAGAAAGGGGTCAGACTAGATCATCACACGGTCCCTTCTGGCCTTGAAATCTGTTAATCAGTTTCAGCAATTTGTTATTTCCAAAGAACCAGGTCTCCCCCACTGAAGTCAGTAGAGCTCTGCGGCTGTGCAGACCTGTGTAGGATTACACCCAGATGGATGCGGGAGTGGGGGAGGAAAAGATTACTGATTTTTCCCACACTCTTAAGAAAACTGTATAATGCAAAAAAAATTCCACGGGACATGCCTGAAATTTCTCATCCAAAAAACTCATGGGAGCAGGAGAAGAGAGGAGACAGTAGTTTGATGGATCACACGCATGTAAAGATTTTCATTATTAAAATGGAAGTAGTCAATTTTTCCCTATATAAAAGGAATAACAATAAAAAAATCCTTATTTAAAGCTGACTTGGAGATTTGAGATTCTACCCCATAGCTTGGGGAGAGGGGACAGAAGCTTGGTGGCACCAAGTTTGCTATAGAATCTCAGAGTCTGTGCCGGCCTAAATATTCATTTTTAATTCAGTGGGGAGGGCAAACCTGGCTGGTAGTTTCTTGCCCTGGCCAAGTGTGGTAAGATGGACATCACCATTGCTGGAGTCATTTGATGAGTGTGGAGAGGGGTGAACCAGTATGGGGGCTTTAGAGGACATATTTTTGTCCATGCACAAGGACTGGGATTTCTTGGGGAAAAGTTTGTACCTCATCATCCTTCACACACTGCATGGACAGCTGGTTACAGTGAACCCAAAGGGAGTTCCGGAGGATGGTGATACGATCACATTCCTGGAGCTGAAAGGCCTAAATCCAAAAGAAGAGATGTCAAGCATCATGGTAATTATTATTATTTATTATGTGTAATGCAGTAGCACCAAGAAGCCGAAGTCATGGATCAGGATCCCACTGTGCAATGTTTGTACACCTGCAACCTTTCTGAAACACGCTACAGTCAGGATGCACTATCAACTATAGAAAATAATCTTAAAATAAATCTACTTTTACGTTTAGTCACTCAAATTGCAAACAGCACGAGAGGTTTTTACCTTTTCTAAATTCACTCTGAGTATCTTTCCCAGACCTGAACACGAGCTCTGTGTAAGCTCAGAAGGTTGTCTCTTTCATCAACAGAAGTTAGTCCAATAGAAAATATTATCTCACCTTTCACTAAATTAAGGATTGTTATCCCTTTTGACCCAAGTGGCTAGCTAAATATTCAGGGTCTTATAAGTTGCAAGTTGGGAAGAAGAAACTGATGGTGGCATTAGATACCTTAATGATGCAGTCCTGTTTCCCTAAACACAAGAGGAACGAAACAGGAGATAATATCCTTGCTCCAAACCTCTTTTAGCCAGCACCCAGCCCAAAAGGCCCCTCTCTCGTCTGTTCCAGGACCACACATACTGTGCTTGATTAGGCTGTGTTTGACTTTCTGCTCCTTCTCTGAGCTGGTCAATACTACACAAGCTTTGCTGGCATAGCTATGCCAGCAGAGTTCCCTAGTGGAGGTGCAGCATAAACCGTCAGAAGAAGTTCTGATGAGATATACACACCACCTCCCTGAATGATACTAGCTAAGCAGACAGAAGCACTCTTTGTCGTCATAGTTGCGTGTACTCCATGGGTTTCAGCTGCATAGCTATACCAGCAAAACTTTGTAGTGCAGACTATGGCCATGTCTACACTACCGGCTAAATCAGCACCACTGCAATCAATACAGTGGTGTCGATTTAGTGGGTCTGGTAAAAACACACTAAGCCAATGGGAGAGCACTCTCCCGTCGACATCTGTACTCCACCTCACTAAGAGGCAGAAGCTATGTCAACAGGAGAGCATCTCCCGCCAACATAGCGCCATGAAGACACCCCTGTAAGTCGATCTAAGTTATGTTGACTTCAGTTATGTAACTTACATAACTGAACTGGCGTAACTTGGATTGATTTACAGCATTAGTGTAAACTAGCCCTAAGCCTCTATGGTTGTTTCTGTGCTGTCTTGCGTGTGTCTCTGTCACATGTACCCCTTACCCAAAACAATATCCAGCAAACCTCTCTACCCATATAGCTCAAATTCCTGAATGGCCTTTGTGGCATTACACCCCATATTCTTCATTGTAATATTATTATGATGTATGTTGTGCAAGATGGGTCATGTGAGGTATCATTGAAAAGGTCATGATTATGATTATCCTATTTGTATGTAGGTGGTATTTTTGTATCTGAAGTTATGAATATTGTCTATTGCATCTATTACAAATGTGTTTACACCTGGGGAATGCCCACTAGACAGAATGCAATCAGTCTAGATGGCTAGCTGGGAAGGGCCACTAGGGAGAACAATAGGTCTTAGAAGATGCTAATCTCCCACGAGGGAACCTTCCTGGGGACACTGAAAACAGCCTCTGAGTCATGGCTGCAGTGGCCCTACAGAGACATGTGACCAAGTCACCTGGTACTGGACTCCATCATAATGCCAGTGTTTTTCCACTAGCTGGGGGTGGAAATCACACTGGAAGACAAAGGGTTGCTGCCTATGCTAAAACTATTTAAGGCAGGGAGTGACATTGTGGTTCGTTCTTCACTGACTCCCCACCCAAGAAAGAAGGCTGCTGGAAACACCTGAGAAACAAAAAGACTGAGTTGGGGGAGAAGAGCTGAACCCAGGCTAGAGGCTAGAGCCTGTGAAAGGAATAACTGGAGTTTTAAGCTGCAAGCAAGTGGAGCTTGCCTTCAAGAATCTCTACAATCTGCTTAAAACAACATTTAGGGTGAGAATTTGCTACACATATCCAATTTCTTTGGTATATTAAGCTTAGTTGGTGTGTGTTTTATTTGCTAGGTAATCTGTTTTGATCTGTTTGCTTTCCTTTATAATCACTTAAAATCTATCTTTATGTAGTTAATAAACTTGGTTTTTTTGGTCTAAAATTAGTGTGTGTGGAAATCATAATTTGGGGCAGAAAGCTGTGTATATTCCTCTCCACACTGAGGGAGGGGGTGAATTTCATGAGCTTGCGCTGCACAGAATTCTGTCCAGTGCAAGATGGTATAATTTTGGGTTTACCCTCTAGAGGAGGGTGTGCACTTGAGTACTGGGCAGTTCCTCAGCTGAGCCTTCCCACGCAGAGCTGATCTCAGCATCTGTGTGAAGCTGCAGCTGGATATGTCCCAACCTTTATGTGTGCTGGTAAAGTGCATTCGAAAGCCTGAGGGAGGGCTTGGCAGGTATGCACAGCAATACAGTGTAAAAGGATCCCAGGTGAGCTCAGTGCTACCCCAGTTCCAGATGGCACCCTGAGGTGGGGGGACCCATCACAGCCTTAGGTGTGCCTTTGGTGTGGGCAGTGTCACATGCCTATATTTTGATTTGGAGACTGCTGTTATTTCACAAAGGAGCTTAACTGTTCCCGCTATCTTTAATGAAGGGTAGTGGGTTACACTCACAAGCTTCAAGAAAGTTTAACCCAACCTTTAACAATATGTTTCCCTGTAAAAAAATAAAGGGGGAAAGAGGAGAAGGGGACAGCACTGTGATTTGAATAGCAAATGATCCCAAGGATTTAGAACCCAGAATCCTGTTGTAACAGGAGCTGGGGGGAACAAGCTTTTTGGATTTATAATACAGGTAATCCCCGAATGGAAAGCTTTGGGAAAATACTCTATGTAGAAACTGTTGGATTCATGCATTGTTGTTTCTAAGACTATTTGTGTAGTAGAACAGAGTTTTTGTTTCTTCAGAATTCACTTGCTCCTCTCTTCCTCTGCTTGAAATACTAATACTTTAGCAGAGCTATTGTTGGGGGGTGGGGTGGCTTTTGGTGTGAATTCAAGAGGAGAAATGGGCAGGTGAATTTTTTAAAACTATTTTTACAGCAGTCAGAAATAAAATTGATCTCCAAGCTGAAGTGTTCTTCTAAATAGAATGTGCTTATCTGTTTTCCGTAAGGTGTGGAAAGCTCGAACTCTTCTAGCCATCTGCTCCCCTCTTCTTTTGTTACTATTTGCATCCATACAACCACAAAAGTACATGCAATGTTTTACAAAATATTGAGCAAGATACATTCCCTGTCTTCTAAAGATCTCATCATGTAAGAAATAAGGAATGGCACAACAATTGAGGGAGGGTGTGGAGAAACCAGATGGTGAAAAGAAAAGGGTAGGAAGCATTTCTGGGAGAAGTAGCTTTTAAGGAGAGATTGAAAGAGATGAGAGAAAGTATTTCATTTGGGGCAGCAACTCAGCAAAGTACTTAAGCATATGGCTAAAGTTAAGCACTACAGGGACTTCTGAACACAGGAAGCCATTTGCAGTGCATAACTACCATTCTATTGCTCACAAGTGCGTCAGTTCATTAAAACAGACACTATTATTCTGTTGTAGATGGTGAACGTAACATGCCAACTACATATGCACATGTCCACATACTGGTTTTTATACATTTTTATAATTTTCATAAATTGCTAGCTTAGAACCCCCTTAGAAATTCAGTAGTCCTGGATTTAGCCACAAGCACATCTAGAAAGGGACTCAATAACTCCATTCACTGAAGAGTGATAAATCTGTATTAACTGCAGCGGGCCGGCTCTGGCAGGGTTCTGAAGAGCACTTCTAGTCTGGCGTATGTATTGTGGTGATGGAAAGGGGGGAGGGGAGGAAATCTGAATCTTAGGGGAAACTTCAGATTTTTTACACCATTTCTGTAGAATGGTTGCCATGCCAGCTATGGGACAATTCCAGAAAGTGAAAGCTACAGGGAGGCAGGGATGATGTAAAAATACCTGGCAAGCATACAGAAGCAGACCACAAACAGATTTTCTGTGGGCTAAGACAAGTTGGAAGCTCCTGGACTTAAACTGGTGTTCAGGCACTTTTAAAATGTGCACTTCTAACCAGTCACTTGGGAAATAGGTTTAACTTGGCTTTGATTTAAATAAGGCAGCCCTAAAACTATCAGGATTTTGTATTCCACCCTGGGTTAGATCCTCAGCTGGGGAAAATGGGCAGCGTACTGCTGTAACTATGCCAATTTAAACCAGCTGAGGATCTGGTCGCCTAAATTTAATGGGCAAGCAAGAAAAGCATAAGCAAGTCAGAAAGCTAACAGCTATACTTTAAATCCATGGTAGTGTCAAGTGTACTCTTGCAGCCGTCATCTCTGGATCTAGCTCGTCACAGACCATCAGAAGTATGTTTCAGATCCCCTCAGTGCTAACACTGCATCTGGGACTGAGATCTGTGAGTGAGTAAAATAAGAAAAATGCACAAACAAATGGTTACAAAGGTCAAAATATTTACCTCACAGGTGCTGATATGTTCCTTCTCCCACTCCATTCTGGCCTTATCCAGCTGTTCTATATACTGCTTGTACATCCTCTCTGTAAATAGAGACGTGAAACAGAAACTTCCCGACTGAGACAAGATAATGCAGGGCCTCACATCTCCTCCTGTTAAGTATGGTGTGACTTTACTTTGGTAAAACATAGCCCTAACCTATATCCTACAGAATATAGTACAGTAGAACCTGGTTAAGTAGAACAATGACTGGGTTAGCTCATGGTATTTTTACTGGAGAGAATGATCTCTCTGACTTGCCACAGGTACACCACAAGCATCTCAACTGGACAATGTGTATGTTGATAGCAATAATGGGCTCTTAGTCTTGAGTGATATTTTAGGATTGCATTGTCCAAAGTGAACAAGGTGCCCAAGGACACAGAAGGACCCACCCAACTGGCAAAGGGAATTTCTTGAGGGCTTGGGGGTGGAATGCTCTATTTCACAGTCCCAGAGTGTATGCAAGTTTACTGTGTTTCTCATAAGGATGTGTATACATGGCAGCGGGGAAGTATGACTCCCAGCTTGAGACAAACACGGGAAAGCTCTGCTTGATTTAGCATGCTAAAAATCACACTGTGGCCACGGTGCAACAGGCAGCAGCTCAGGCTATCTGCCTAAGTACAATCCAACCTGGCTCCTTGGGTATGTACTTGGGCAGCTAGCCCAAGCTGCCACCCATGCCACTTCAGCTACGCTGCTATTTGTAGGCTGAGCTAGCGCACATCCATCTCCTGAACTGGGAATTATACCTCCCTGCTGCAGGGTAGATGTACCCTCCCTGAGTTTGGGCTCATAGCCGGATCCAGAGAACATCGCCGTACTAGCTTGCCCACATGTAAGAGTGCATGCCTATGTCTTCCTTGCCCTGGGTTAGGGTGGCGAGGACCCAAACAATGTTAAAGAGCAAACAGAAAAGAAGCCCCAATATTAAAGTGTTTTAAATAAATTGTAGAATACATAAAGGGGATCCCCTAAGTATATGCAGCATCAGATTTATCTTCCTTTAGTGGAATGTAAATTTGGGGCGGGGGTCTAAGGTAGCTGACAGTTGCCTTTAACGGCACTTCCATTAGTTTAGGAGTCTTTAGGAATCTGCACTTCTATATGTGTGGAGTTTTTTTCCCTCTTGATAGCATGCCGTTAAATCAGCTGGGTGTTAGACTTTACGTGGAATGGTACCTGCTTCATTTGCTGTGTCTTTGCATTGTTTGGCTTTGTTCTGACTCTGAAATATAAAAAGAAAACATTGAAATTAAGCCCTTTCCATTTTCATATTTTTTTCCTTAGGTCACAATCCCCCTAGTAAAATATTAAGTGTCTGTCTCTGCAAAGAATTGCTACCTAGTTTATTGCTATGAATCATCCCATTGACTTTGCATTATTCAAAATAGGGGCCAGATCCACAGCTCTGTAAATAGTCATTGCTCCATTGACTTCAATATAGCTATGACAGTTTGCACAAGGGGAGGCCCTGGTCCTACGTACTGCACTTGCAAAGACCCTGCTATCTTATTTTGTTTTAAAAAACAGTGTTTGCAGTGTCTGGCCCCATGTTTGTTCCCACTGATCTAAACCTTCTATAAAAGTTATCTATATACTGCTGTGTAACTTGGAAGTTTTATAAATAGAAATAAATGGCAATTGAAATTCTTTATCTCCTCAGGTACCATTCAGAGATAAGTAACCAGACTTTTTAAAGGAACACTGTCAAACTTTTACAATATGTTGTGAACGCTAATGTTTCCTGGCTGTTTCCAGTAACACATTCATGATTTCAAGGCCAGAAGGGCCCGCTGTGATCATCTAGTCTGACTTCCTGTATAACACAGGCTAAGAACTTCCCCCCAAAACTTCTTAGAGCAGATCGCTTAGAGAAAAACATCCAATCTTGATTTTAAAATGGCCGGTGATGGAGAATCCACCATGACCCTTGGGAAACCTAAAAGCAAAATAGAAGCTCTTCTCTTACAGCTTTTAAAAATTGTAAATCTGGGCAGCCTATTAATATCCTGGGACTTCCTGGCTTGCCTGGTGATGACAACACATTAATGCCCTGAGCTTGAAGGATGTCTAACATGCTCTCCCATTCAGTCCTTCAAGGTAGTGTTCAGATTACAGATTCTTCTAACCATACTCCTCAGGGCTGCTGGATAGAAAATGCGTAATGTGTTGGGAGCACCGCATCTTCCTTCTTAGTCATTTCCTGTCCTAAACTGTTTGCTGTTGCTCTGCAGAGTTAAACAGCTGATGTGTTCCACCCGGGGGTGGGTGGGTGTGTGTAAGCACCCTAAAACTGTTCTGGGTGAAATCCTGACCCCATTCAAGTCAATGGGAGTTTTGTCATTGACTTCAATGGGGCCAGGATTTCACCCACTATAAATAAGATCTAATTTGTTACTCATGGAAGACTTTTGGAACACCATGGGTATAAAATGTATATTTCCGAAATTCATTTTTAGATTGCTCCTCCCCTCTCCCCTGCAAAAAAGATGATTTTGGATCTCTGCTTTCGCTGTGCTGAATTTATGGAGAAAAAGAGAGTTAGTTTATTTTTTTTCTCCATCTGCTTCATTGTAAAATGTTCTCATGAAAGGTTAGTAGGTTGTCAGCTAAACATGTAAGATAATGCAATGAGGGATTGAAATGCCTTGCTTTTCAATTATTTATTTTTAAGTTTGTAAATTTGATGAAACTAAACTACCTACCAGGAGAAAGATTGATAAAGAAAGGGCATTTAATGTAAGGTACTGTACCTACTTTGGTTAACATGGGATCCAAAGGTGGAAACAGCGGATTAATACGGTTCAGACTTTTTCTTTCATTTTTATGAATAATCTGAGGCTTAAAAAAAACCTATTCAGTAAGAAACTGAATTTGCATTCTAATGATAGGCCATACCAATTGCCTCACTAAATTTCTCCGCCTCCCATGCTTTTTAAAAACACAGGCAACTATGAACTTGTTCCAATTCTATTGATTCCTTTGTGGAGGAAAATTTCCTACTGAATTTTACAATGTTTATTAGAACAGAGAGCAGCCTCTGAAATGTGCAAACTCTGATGCAAAGTGGATTGTCCAGGAAAACTACAGAGCTCTCTGCTACCATGGCTTAAATAGCACAATGGTCTCATATACCTTTTCTGTTTGCTTTTGGTTGCCGGAAGCACTTATCCTCTTGAAGGCCTGCTCAGCCTCATCCGCATCCTTGCACTTTTGCTCGTAGGTCTTCTTTGACTGCATTAAAATAAATTCAATAGAATGTTTTCTTTTTGGGCTAGATAACCCTTTTTTGGGGGTGGGGTTGGGGAGGGGGCTAGATAACCCAGTCTCTTCTGCAGGCAAGGGGAACAAATCAGGCATTAGGTTAGAACTATTTACATTTTAAAAACTTTTAAAAATTAATTTAAATTTTAAAATTGAATAGGGAACAATTTTAAATGGATATAAGAATGGCCATACTGGGTCAGACCAAAGGTCCAGGTGCCCCAGAGGGAATGAACAGAACAGGTAATCATCAAGTGATCCATTCCCTGTCGCTCATTCCCAGCTTCTGGCAAACAGAGGCTAGGGACACCATCCCTGCCCATCCTGGCTAATAGCATTGATGGACCTATCCGCCATGAATTTATCTAGTTCTTTTTTGAACCCTGTTATAGTCTTGGCCTTCACAACATCCTCTGGCAAAGAGTTCCACAGACTGACTGCGTTGTGTGAAGAAATACTTCCTTTTGTTTGTTTTAAACCCGCTGCCTGTTAATTTCATTTCGTGACCCCTAGTTCTTGTATTAGGAGGAGGAGTAAATAATACTTCCTTATTTACTTTCTCCACACCAATCATGATTTTATAGACCTCAGTCATAGCTCCCCTTAGTCGTCTCTTGTCCAAGCTGAAAAGTCCCAGTCTTATTAATCTCTCCTCTTACGGAAGCCATTCCAGACCCCTAATCATTTTTGTTGCCCACCTAATCACAGATGGACATAAAAGAGAGAAGAAAAAGCAACCTGGATGCTGACATATCAAATTAGCAGCACACTAAGCAACCCTCTCCAGCATCCCCACATATGGTACTGCCACTAGTCACTGTAATTATTTATTTTATGACAGGATGCCTTGATGCCCTATTGAACAGAGCATTGTACAGCCACATAGCTCTTCAGGGCAGGGATTGTTTCTCATTAAATGTCTAAATACTAGAGCTGGATGGGAACTAGATTTTCCATTTCTTGGGAAATTCTGCAATTTTGGGGGGGAAAGTTCCATTCCAAAATGGAAAAAAAACAAAAAAAAATTTTAATTTCGGGCAAAAGAATATTCAGGGGGAGGGAGAATATTGTTTTGGGTTGATAGAAATGTTTCTTTTTGATCAAATTGGAACATTTTATTGTAAATTTAATTTTTTTTAAATACTTTAAATATAAATTAAATTTCTAAATGAAACACTGAAACACACCATTCCAAAGCTATCAAAAGGAAACGCTTAAAAAAAGGCATTTTGATAAGGTCAAAGTTTCATTTAAACTATAAAGCTTCGTTTTTGAAGAATCAGCATTTTCCAACAGAAAAACATTCCATCTGAAAACTTCCAGTCAGCACTACTGAACACACAAAACAGACGAAGTGTAGGAGGGGAAATGACTTGCCCTAAGCCCACACCAGGTGAGTATTAGAACCAGAACCCGGGTCTCCTGAGTCCCAGTGACCAGTGCCCTATCCAGTAGACCACACTGCCTCCCAGGCATTCCACAGGGTTGACCATGACCAGCTTAACACATTTTTAAACATGACTTGCCCTGTCCACATTAGGTGCAAAGTCTTGTTTAAAATGGTTGGTGGTTATTTGCCTTACAGTAGCATCTAGGTGCCCTACTCACAGAGCAGGACTCCATTGTGCTAGGTGCTGTACAAACACAAAACAAAAAGGCAGTTCTTCCTCCTGCCCCCCAGGACCTTACAATTTAGGTAACAAGAAACACCAGGTGGGTATAACAAAGATGCGGAAGCCTAACAAAACAATACTAGTCAGCATGATAGGCAGTGGCCTCAAAACACCAGCTGCCTGTCTGTTATCAAGTTTTTTGTGGCATCATGGAAAAGGAGAGTTGTAAGAAGGGATCTGAAGGAGAATAAGGAGTTAATTCTATGGATTTGAAAAGGAGCACCTCCCATGGATAGAGGCAGCATGGGAGAAAGCACAAAGGTGCGTGTTTTGAAAACTGAACAAGTGGGTGATGGCAGCTGGCATCATTATCAGATTGGAGGTTAAAACATGACCATTTTTCTAGTTCTAGACATGGCACTGCTTAATCAACAGAGCTGCTCTCCGTGTTTATCCGAGTTATAGATGCCAACCTCAGCCACAAAAATAGGTTTTCCCTGCTTGTCACTCTAGTTAGCCCTCCAAAGTTAACGACTCCAGCAGAGGGTGCTAAATTCCATTGTTGCCCATGCATCATCATCATCATCATCGTTGCCATCTAAGTTCAACAGCTGAGCCAAATTCTCCAATCATTTATACCATTGGAGTTGCACAAGTGATCCTCAGGTCGCATCTGGCGATCATTGATGGTGATGATGCATGAGACTGTAGGAATTCACTTGACTTTCAGATCCCCAGGCTGAATGGCAGAAAAAAAAATCTTAGCCTGTAAGCTGTTGAAAACAGAAATAGGGCTGGCACTAACTCTAAGTTAACCCTCAAGGTGCTGTCAGAAACCTTTAACTGGGCGTGGCAGGGAAAACATGCTTCCATGTGTTAACGTCATGGCTTGGAAACACATACGCTTTTTACTTTATTTCATCATGTTCTTGACATCCCTTTAAGATATTGTCTGCGATGAAAATTTCACCCTCCCATTGTTGGTGAATTGTCCACCATTTGCAACTGGATGAATGTATTATTAAACCACAAAACTTACCTCCATTGTTTTCTTATAGAGGGACACCTTGCTCTTTTGTGCACGTTCCATTGCAATCTCGTACTGTAAGAAACACACAGGACGAAGCATTTCTCCTTTTAGTGTCAGAACTAGAAGAGCAATGGTTGCACCATTTCTAAGAAACACGTTCCTGTGCGGAAAATGCCTTGACATTGCTTTTGTAACTGATGCCCTTCTAAATAACACAGAGGGCAACAGTGCAAAGCTAGGAAAAATTAATCCAAGACAATTTTGCTTCAGTGGCTTCCATTAATAGCCAAGAGGATGTGTCTTCATTTTCTCTCCTTATCTTAAGAAGCTTAAATAGCATAACACCCAGTCACGCTGTACATAAGCTTTGCCAGCCGAGTTCTGTGTAACAGCACAAGCCCTGGGATAGGATCTTGTGCTGCTGCTGTGTTTGTGCAGTGCCCCACCTTGCTGAGTAAGGACTTCTATCCATTACAAATATGAGCAGATCCACTGTGATTAATAACAGATCCCTTTACCTCTGTCAAGTGATTATATTCTACCTAATTTCCATGGGCATCAGCAGGTTAGCTTGAAAGGGCATTGGCCCAGCCTCTTCTTCAATTTGACATGGTTTGAAATACCCAGCTCCAAGCTTAAAAACGAGAGCCTTTCCTATTCAGCAGCCAGACATGACTCTGATCCCATGACACAGTTTTTTTTAACAGAGCTTGATCTGAACACAGCTGGCTTTGTTTCAGATTATGAAAATTCAATATGTGTAATGCTTCTCTCCCAACATCCTTGGCTGATCACCAGAGATCCTAGTTTTCCATGATAAAAAAACCCCAAAATTCTCTGATTTAAAAAAAAAAAACCACCATAAAAATACACATTTTTCTGCGCTTAAAATGAAACGCTGAACTTTAGTTTCCCTAGCCACAATATATACGAGTATCAGCTGAACACAGTGCTTTATTGATATACAGTAGAAACCCGTTTATCTGAGCCTCCATTATCCGGTTCTCCACATTAACGGAACCAGCAGCTGCCTGGGGCTGACAGCGACAGAGCTCGGGCAGTCAGCTTCAGATGGCTGGGGATCTGGCCGTCAGCGCCGCGTGAGGCTAACTGCCCAAGCCTCCCCTCCCCCATTTTAAAATAAGGGATAGAAAGGTCTTTGTAAATTCTCCTGATTATCCCAATTTTTGATTATCTGATCTGGCCCCAGTCCCAGTTAATCAGATAAATGGGGTTCCACTGTAAATTTGAAGCACATTCAAAAATCAACAACAAGAGGGGGAGATTGCATGCACTCAGTAAGTGACGCTGGTACTTTTAGTAAAATGTAGTTAATTTTTAATATGTTTTTATTTTTTCACAAAATTTAAAAACTATAACGATGCTCTGTAAAAATGCAAATTCTGCATTTTTCCGTGGGAAACAGATTTCTAGGGTCCCTGCTGATTACTGCTGTAAGTGTTTAATCCCTTTTTTTAACTTTGGCTAAGAGGGCTGCTTCTATAACATCCTGCCGGAGCACTAAAATATACCGTAAATGAAGTAGTAGCAAAGAGTTTGAGCCTTGTGTTGAACTCAATGCCTAGATCATCTCATCTGTGATGTTGGGGAAATGCTGGGAATCAGGGTTTCTTCCCTGGAGAAGATGGTGGGGAGAGGGGCATGGACGGTGGGTGTCGAAGGCCGGGGAAGGCTGAGCCTCCCCAAACAGTCTTGCATGGCCCTGCCCATGCTCCATCCCCAGGGCCCTTCCTGCTTCCCGGCACTGTGCTGTGGGGGGCTCTTTCCCCTGTGGCCGGAGCTAATGGGGGCTAGCCTGTGCTCCAGGGTTAGGAGGAGGGGTGCTGGTGGCCGTGTAGGGGGGACCCTCTGGGCTTCAGCAGGCCGGGTGGGGCCTCTGGCAGAAGGGGCGGGCCGTGCTGGAGGCTAGCCTCCCCAAGCTCAGGGTTCACCCACTGCCCATGGGGAGGGGAGTCTAATTCTGCCGTCTTTAGACCTTATTCAAGCAAATCTCCCCCTGGTGCCAACAGAAGTGTTGCCTGAGTAAGGGCCAAATGGTGCAGTCCAGAATGCTGCTGTTGCAGGGCTAGCACAATGCACAAAGACACACACTGCTGTGTTTTGGGAGCTCACCGGAAATGCTGGCACGGTTTGCTCTAGTGCTACTTTCTCGGCAGCCAGCCACATGGGCGACTGAAAGAAAAACCTGCAACAGACACGGAGAATCCAGAAGAGGTCTCTGCCTTGCTCCCAACTCCCAGTAAAGGTTTCTCTTGAAGGCTTCAAATGTAGAACTATTGCAAGAAGATACAGCCCCTGTTTCCATGCAGCTCTCCAAGTAGTAAATGGGATGGTAGAGGAGATAAATACTGATTCAAATATGAAACAGACACGGAATTGTCTCTAAATTGAATGTGCTTCATGAAGCAGCTGCGGAGCTTGAAAATCAGACAACAGCACTGTCAGAAACAGGATTGTTTTTACTCACCCTGAAATCCTGGAGTGTTTCATTGGCTGGGTTCCCATCTGTCTTGTGCTATTGAGATGGTGAGGCTGGTGCACTTGGAACTACCTGGATCTGTTCTGTTTTGTTTTAAAGGGGCATGGGATGTGGAAATTTTGCATGGCTGTCAAAAATCATCGTTGTTTTAGGTGGCAAGTAGCCAAGCCCTTTACTTATTCCCAGATAGAACCAGAGAGGGTGTAAAACATTAACACTGTCACTCAATTAGCAGATACCTTGTTCAAAGGATGCTGAATTTGGGAGGATCAAATGGGATGATAGCTGGTTTGAACATAGTTGTTTTTTTTTAATACAACACCTCTGGTGAATACTAGATTAATATAATTTATCTCGGGGATTTCCAACACCCTCATCATCTTATTACTTAGGCTTCAAGTTCAACACAATGCACAAACCTTTGTTACCGCTTCAATTTCGGTGTATTGCAATGCTCTTACAGGATATTTACTGAAGCAACTTGCTTAGCAAGAATTTTGAAAAGGGATGAAATACTTACAGGAATAAGAAAAGCATCTGCAGTTATATTAGCTAGAAAGTGAAAGCGACAAGGGCTCTGAGTCTTCATAGTTCAGAGCATTATCTCATCACCAGCTGGGATCACAGAGAAACAGAGAGATTCCGCCCAGGATCAAGTTAGCTAGGAGCTTGGAGGAAGGAGGGCAATTGTCGTGCTCTGAACCATCCATAGCACACTGCTGGAGACAACCTATCAGAATAAATGGGCCATTGGTCTGACAATTCTTATCTTTCCTCACCTTTTTTCGTTGCTCCTTCTGTCTTTCTCTGAACTCCTCTATTCCTTTCAGTTCATCCTTCAGCATCAATGCCAGTTGGATATGGGAGTTTCCAACATTTTCAATTTCTAAGGCAGATGAGAATTTATAGACAGTCAATGAAAAGGCCTCTAATAAAGACAAAGTCGGGTTTTTCAGCAGGTATTTACTGGGAGGTGGCATGAATGTATTACTTACATGCACCTGGCAGTCTCAGAAACTTAAGGAGGGCTTTTTTTATTCAGATCATTGTATTATCTCATTAATTAAAGGAGGATAGGACTCATCCCAATCCCCTTGATGTCTGCAACATACATGTGGCCAGAACTGCTGCTGTTTGTGACATGCCAAGATTATGCATGGCAGGAGAATGTAAATAGAAATACTTTTATCTGGCCCCCTTTCACATCTTCATATTCCCACCATGCACCTCCAAACTTTCCCCTTTCTTTTTAAGGGCTCTCTCTCTTCCCCCTCCATGCCTACGTTTAGACCTCCTTATTGACCCCAGGTTTCTTATCCACATTGTGATCACCTTCCCGCCCATCACGCTTCTTGACATCAATCTCTCTTGCCAGCCACTTCCCAATTACAGTCAGGCTTGTCCCAGCACTACCATCCAATGAGGGAGGCTGAAAATGGGCAGGGTTCAGTAAAGATAGAAAATATCTTACTCTTGAGTCTAAATTTAAAATGTCTGGCCAACATTTTCAAAAGTACTTAGTGATTTTGGGGTGCCCAACTTTGAGATGCCTTGAAAAGGGCCTGTTTTTCAGAAAGTGCTGAGCAACCATCTCTCTGAAAAGCAGGCCCCTTCAAACCAGGAATGATCTTAAATCTCTAGCCACATTTGAAAATCTTGACCTCTTTATCTAAACTGTAGGCAGTGTGTGCAACTGCACCGCCCCATTGTATACTAGGTAACTATGCTATTACATCTTAGGAGTGTAAACATTTTAGCATTTAGCCCTTGGTGCACAAGAGAATGCATATCCCGCTGTCTTGATGAGCCTGGGGCTTAGATGAGGGTTAGTCATCAGTGACTCAAACCAGATAAGACTGAGCAAGTATTGGGGAAGAAGCCCAAAAAGTTGGCAAAAATTCCATTATTACCCCTAACTAGGGAAGCGTGGCCACTGTCTGTAGCACAGATGGACAATCTGGGTGTGTTAGACTCTGGGGCGTCTCTGAGTGTCCAGGTTGTGACCATGGCGAAGAGTAATTTCTGCCGACTGTGCTGGTGAGATGGGTGTGCTTTTGCTTACTGTCATTGATGATTTAACTGGGAATTGGTCCTGCTTCGAGCAGGGGGTTGGACTAGATGACCTTCTGGGGTCCCTTCCAACCCTTATATTCTATGATTCTATGATTCATTCATCTGGGGGGATTTGAAGCACTTTACAACTGTAGGGGTATATGACAGCCCCCATTTTACAGATGAGTGAACTGAGGCATAGAAAACTAAACATCTTGATTGCCGGAGATGCTGCCTTAAATAATTTGGCCACGGTCACACAGAAAATTAGTCTGCTAGGCGTCACTCATTGGCCAGCTGGTCCTTTTTGATTTTGTTTCAGCCATGTGTGGTCAACTCATTGGTGCGGGGTTGGGATCCTGTTACCAAAAAGAGGAGGAAATCCCTTTCCTTATTAAGGGGTTGTGCTGGGAGGGGAAGCATAGTTCCCAGTGCAGAGACCTGAGGATCTAAACTGGAGACAGTTTTAAGGCTCTTTGGTTTCTTAGGAACTCAGGAGGAAGGAGGGTTAGCAAAGGCACTGCGATGGCAGATTGGCTGTTCCTCTGCTAGTGGATTATAGTGGGTACAGTGAATGCTATTGGGGAAAGGGAATTTGGATTAAATGTGGAGCTATTGAGGAGGAATGTGACCCCTGTGGATTAGAGTTGTAAAGAGTGTAAATAATGGGCAGTAAAACACTTGGAATAGAAAATCTGTCTTCTTCAGTGATGGGTTGGCCCCAGGACAAATCAGCCATCAATGAAAGGATTCCAACAGGGATGGGAAGAAGGATACAAACTTACGTTGCTTTAGGACCTCGAATGCTGCCTTCAGAGTGCTGAGAAAACAAACACATACTTATTGGTATAGTGTCCTAATGACAGACTGTGAATCTAAAAAAAAAAAAGTCCACTACCGGACTTTTACCCTCAAAGAAACACAAAAATAAATAAAACCTTTAATAGCCCAATCCAAAAATAATTGACCATGCAAATGGGAGAGAGATTACATTTATAGGTTTCATTAGGCCATGCAATCAAATGCTTCATGAAGCAGGGAATTAAAGACTTCCAAACTCCTGGTGCACTGGACTGTTTAACCCCTCGGTATTAGTTATTACACGTGTTAATATAAACTTGTCTGTACCAATGTCTTGGTGAGAACATGAATACAGGGAAATACAAATGACCAATATAACTGATGTTTGGAATAGTAGTTGAAAAGGGGAGATCTCTGAGGACAGAGATAGGCAAGACCTCTGTAGTCAGAGATCAGTGCTGTACCAGTATATCTTGTTTTTTCCTCCTTAATAATCCTCACAGCAGGAGCAATGCATTGGCTGTGTAACATTACCTCCCTCCTGCACTTCTGTAGCACCCCCTTGTGGTACTGTCTCCAAATTCTTTAAAGACACCAAATTAAGACCAATGGTTTTCAGAGCCATACACTCTAGGGGTCTGAAACGATGGACCACAGTGGCTATTCACAGTTACACAGTGCAGTATGAATAAGCTCTGCCACCAGACGGAGCCCTCAGCACCAGGCCATGAAATACAGGTGAGACTAGCAAGACAAAACGTTACACTGGTCAGTATGAGAAGTCAGATGGAGCTGGATCAAAGTAAAAGATGGGGTCTTATAATGGTGTTTCACAGGGGGCTGGTAAAAGGCAGTAGTATATTGTCTGTTGTGCTGGGTTGAGTAAATGATAATCAGTCAGGCAGATGAATAGGGAACAAGCTGCAAACGTTTTAATGAAGCAGCAGAAAGAACAGCAAAGAGGTAGAGGAGTAATTCAGAGAGAGATGCCAAAAACCCCACTTTCCCATTCTGTTGCAGCATTGCTGCTCCAATTGCACCCAGTTCTGAAGAGCCTGGGCATCAGTGGTTTTACTGGGGGCTGTACTGTGAATTGAGAAGGTAATCTTTCCGGGACACCGACTGTGTGACCTCCCAAAGGTCTGTCCAGGGGCTTGATAAAGAGAGAGCCTGATATGGCTCATGAGAGGGGAAGGAATATTCAGCCAAGCCCGTGAGTGGCACTTCTGAAATACTCAATGACTAAAGGCATAAAGTTTGGCCACGCATGGAGTGGGGAGGGATGTGTGTCCCTGCCAACCTCTGGGGGACAGAGATCTGTGAGGAAATTATGTGCATCCTGGGCCACCCGAGGAGGCCAGAGACACACATACTGGAGCCCACATTCTCTGTGGTACTTTGGGTGAGGTGCAGCCTCCTGATGGCAGCCTGGCTTCCAAAGGAGCGGGCCTGCAGGCACCTGGCTCAAAACCCACACTTTGTACCCTGTCTGGTGCAGCCTCCTGCCCTCTCCAATACTGATGCTTCCTGGGGGAATTCCAGATGCTATTCCTTTGGCTGAGACTTGGAGCTGTGTTTAAAAACATTCTAGGCATGGCCTTCCCATCAGTTTTAACGACAAAGCAAATCTCTGGCTTCTGCCTTGCTGTACTCCGGTTTCATATTAAAAACGGCACCACCACCACATGCAATCTTGGCAGAGCTGGTGCTGAACTAGCCAAGTGGTAGCCCTCATCCTTCCATGTCAGCATCTCCAGTGTCTTTAGCATTGACCTCTTTGAACATGTAATCCAGCCCTGGAGCAGAGGAGTTGCCATTTTCAGTCCTTGGGTGGACTGTACTTGTTAAGCACCATCTGAAGGCAGCTATCGCCACCAGGGCAACAATTAGGTTTACTTCATCACATATACCTTCATTCTGCTCTTGGATGCATGCATGCAGCTCTCATTGACTTCAGTAGAGCACAGATCCAAGGGCAGAATCTTGGCCTGCTATTGGAGAATTTCCCTTAGTACAATCTGCCTGTGCTACTGGACCTGATGCTGTCATCTTTAAAGATGTGCTGCCTCCCCATTCTTCGTGGCACATGCTTAGCCAGAAGGGCAAGAAGTATGGTCTATATACCTTATGCCCTTCCAGATGGGCCTGTTTAGGGTTTAAATTGGACATAAAGCAGCAAAGAGAAATAGGACCCTTTTTCAGGTCTTGAAGCACCTTGTGGACTCTTAGGGGAGAAATATAAAGGGAAGTGGACACCATCATGCAGGCCCCAAAGAACATCACGAAAACCTGGAGTCTTGATTCAAAATTTGCTAGCACGGCTACCTGTAAAATGTGTGACCAAAAAGCCTTTCAGCCATAAATGATCAATATACGTCTTATTTTCAGACTGTTTCAGCTTTTTGTGTATAAACCAACAAAATAGTTTCCCTGAAATGAGTTATGAATAACTGATGGCGCTAAACAAAAAAATTATTTAAAGGCTTGAGTTGGTGCTCTTAAAATCCTCTGCTGTAAAAGCGGGCTCCAAGCCGGCCTGTAAAAGCCTGTGAATCTCCTTGGATCACTAGGATATAGCATAAAAGATTGAATGTCTTTTAAGATATGCGTCTTTGTTGTTTTGAAGGTGCCCTTGCATTTCATTTTATCCCTGTGTTCCCAAACATGTATAACTTGGCTGGTGTAAACTTTTGATGCAAACTTAAACTTGGAGCATAAGGTCTCAGAAATGAAGGAGTCTTTTTAACCAAATTTGAAATCAAATAAGCCACCCACTGTACTAAATTTATTATCCATTTTTGTTCTAGATGACATGATAGGGATTTTTTAAAAAAGTAAATATAACTTACAATACATATTGGCCCTTGCTTTTGTATATATCTTACAGTGAGGGTGGGGCACTTTATTAGATACCTCATCAGAGTAACATACAAATATTGAAATAAAAAACAAACCCAGGACATTTACTGTTTGCACAGCATGTTGATCTATCATTTCCAGAGTTTTTTTCCTCGAGCCTGAGGTGTCAGTTCCTTGCTTTTGTATATATCTTACAGTGAGGGTGGGGCACTTTATTAGATATCTCATCAGAGTAACATACAAATATTGAAATAAAAAACAAACCCAGGGCATTTACTGTTTGCACAGCATGTGGATCTATCATTTCCAGAGTTTTTTTCCTCGAGCCTGAGGTGTCAGTTTCTGCCAGATGTAGTTAAATTGCCATATTGGATACTGAAGAAAGATACATTCTCAATACAAGGGGAAAAGGAGTTTACTCTCTTTAGTTTTGAAGTGGTCTATGCTATCAGAGTGGTTTATGAAAGGAAGCCAGATGTTGTGATTTACTTTCTTCTATGGGCCCTTTGAGTGGAGGAGGGTTAGTCTGTCTTCCAGTAGGCTGTAATAATGCCCTGGCTACAAACAGGTGGGAGTAATTGAATCTAACCTTTTTTGTGCGGTTTGGGGGAATAGACATGCACATAAACATTGTAAACAGATAGGAGGGAGAATAGGCCGGTCAAATTTTAGGCCTAAGAACCTTCAAATATCTCTTTAATCACTTGAGTGCTGCACAATATACCAGGTACAGCCCCATGTATCAGCTATGTATCACCTTCCGAAGCTCTGACATGGATGGAACATCTCATTCCAGTACACCGGGGTATAGCTGTGTGGGTGAAGGAAAGTATCCCATTTGGTAGAGATGTATGTGTGAGATGCTTGTAATTTAATTTTGCTAGTACGCTTGAATGAATGGTGACTAAATAAAGCATCTCATTTCAGAGTCCCTCTCTATGTGGGTGTGATTTCCTATTGAGATTTGTAATGTTTTTGTTCTGATGTCTGTGGGTGTGGGGATGCCTCAGTTTTAGGCCATTTGAACAAAATTCATTGTCCCCACACTCACGTTTTTAAGGAGGGGAGGAGGAAGTACCACTATTTCAAGTCGGGAGGGTTGTTAAACTAAGTTACAGGCAAAGTATCAGCCTTCACCTTGAACCTCCCCACAGCAAGCCTGCTTGCTAGGATCCGTGTGAAATGTCTATAGAAATGTATTGTGTGTAATTAAAGTCTTGCACTTCGTAAAGCATGGATTTAAAGACCCAGTTTTCATATGAAACTTTGGCAGAGAAATGAAGGACCTGTACTTGGGGTTAGAGTCAAGGGAGCTCTGGCAGATTGATCAATAACCAAGCACCAACTTCAGGTGATTTTTGCCATCTAGTGGCTGAAACCTTTTCCTGTTAACCAGGCTACAGACATGTACTAGAGATTTCATTCCTTGCAGTGTTTTTAAGAAAAGGAGTACTTGTGGCACCTTAGAGACTAACCAATTTCTTTGAGCATGAGCTTTCGTGAGCTACAGCTCACTTCATCGGATGCATACCATGGAAACTGCAGAAGACATTATATACACACAGAGACCATGAAACAATACCTCCTCCCACCCCTGTCCTGCTGGTAATAGCATATCTAAAGTGATCATCAAGTTGGGCCATTTCCAGCACAAATCCAGGTTTTCTCACCCTCCGCCCCCCCCCCCCCCCACACACAAACTCACTCTCCTACTGGTAATAGCCCATCCAAAGTGACCACTCTCTTCACAATGTGTATGATAATCAAGGTGGGCCATTTCCTGCACAAATCCAGGTTCTCTCACTCCCTCACCCCCCTCCAAAAACCACACACACAAACTCACTCTCCTGCTGGTAATAGCTTATCCAAAGTGACCACTCTCCCTACAATGTGCATGACATTGCTCAAAGAAATTGGTTAGTCTCTAAGGTGCCACAAGTACTCCTTTTCTTTTTGCGAAGACAGACTAACACGGCTGTTACTCTGAAACCAGTATTTTTAAGACTTTTAAAAAATTCAGCACACGGTTGAAAGAAGTAAGTGTTTCCTGAAATATTTTGAAATGAGCATTAAAAAAGGAGCATTGCTTTTCCTGGGTACTTGCTCAGGAAGCAATCACCATATGCGTTTCTTTCCTAAATGAGCTTATACCTTGTGTGG